CAAACTTTAAAAGCCTGTGCTGCTCTTACAGAGGATCCGAGTTGCATTAGTACCCCCATAGGGCAGCTCACAATTGCCTGTAACTGTGGCTCCAGGGGATCCAGCGCCCTTTTCTGGCATCCGAGGGCATCTGAATTCATGTACAAATACCCACACACAGACGGACGGACACACAGATACACAGACACATAGTTAAAAAAAATAAAGCTGGGTGGTAGTGGCCATGCCTTTAATCTCAGCACTCAGGAGGCAGAAGCAGGCGGATCTCTGTGAGTCTGAGGCCAGCCTGGTCCACAGAGCAAGAGTAATTACACAGAGTAACCCTGTCTCCAAAACAAAAACAAACAATAAAAAGCCCCAACTAAAATGCCTACATATTATGATACGCCCAAAATACACACACACACTCTCTGTCTCTGTCTGTCTCTGTCTCTGTCTGTCTGTCTGTCTGTCTGTCTGTCTCTCTCTCTCTCTCTCTCTCTCTCTCTCTCTCTCGCACACACACATGGTGGCTCACAACCATTCATGTATATGTGCCCAAAATCTTAAAAAAGAGAAAACAAGCAAATCAGATTTCGGGTTTGATGCTAGGTAGTTCCTCTGCCATGCTGGGAGTCCTGGGTTTTTGTCATGTAAAAGAAAAAAAGTTAAGCTGGGTGGTGGTGTTGCATGTCTTTAATCCCAGCACTCAGGAGGTAGAGGCAGGCAGATTTCTGTGAGTTCAAGTCCAAGCTGGTCTACAAAGTGAGTTCCAGGACAGCCATAACTACTACCCAGAGAAACCCTGCCTCAAAAAAAAAAATCAAATTAAAGTGTAACACGCAGATAGCCTGCTGGTTCAATTTGTGTCACTGTGTTTTGTCTTGCCCATTCCTGCCCTTCCTGCGCACGTAATCCCACAGTGAGAAGTCTGGCTTCTTCCTTTTAGCACAGACCTGTGAAATCCAATGTCAGACCATCCGTCTATACTGTTGCCTAGACCAGTGGCTCGGTTGTATTGCTCATGCTCTAGAAATGCGTCATGGTCCACATGTCCATTCCCCTGGACGTGTAGATCATTCCCAGTTAGCTGTGATCAGCCAGGCACAAGACTGTGTGGACAAACATTCTCATTCCTGTTGGGCAGATACCTGGGAGCTGAGTGGTTGGGCCATTGGGTTAGTGGTACATATTTGTAATTCCAGAATTTAAGAGGTTGACACAGGAAGATTGTGAGTTCGAGGACAACCTCAGCTACACAGTGAGATCCTGTCTCAATAAACCAAGAGCTAGAGTTATAGTTGAGCAGGTACAAGGCCTGGGTTTGGATCCTCAGACCAAACCAAGACAAAGCACCACCGAAAGCCCTGGAAAACTGTTTTCTTTTTTTTTTAAGATTTATTTATTTATTACATATACAGTGTTCTGCCTCCATTCCAGAAGAGGGCACCAGATTGAATTGTAGATGGTTGTGAGCCACCATGTGGTTGCTGGGAATTGAACTCAGGACCCCTGGAAGAGCAGTCAGTGCTCTTAACCTCTGAGCCACCTCTCCAGCCCTGGAAAACTGTTTTCTGAGGAGGTCACATCACCACACACTTTGGTTGATAGCCCAGTTGCTGTGTATCTTCTCCAGCACTGAGTTTTGAGATTCATTTTGGGTATGTTTCCTGGGACTTGAGTTTGCATTTCCCTAGACTACTGATCTAAAGCCTGCCGTCACGTGTCTCCTGGCCATTTGTGTATTTTCTTTGATTCACTTACTGATCACATCTCCTTTGTCTCTTTATAGACTACAACTTCTGCCGCTGCTGGCTACATGCTCACGGTCCCTTTGTGTTTGGGTGTCTTGAAACGTTCTCTAGAGTCTTCTTCATCTCTCTTCTGAATAGACAAGTCTCCCTAATCACAATATGCAAACACTCCACTGCTCTAAAGCCTGCAGTGGCTCCCGTAGTCCGCAGGGAGAAGCCCCAGTGTCTCTACCTGCCATTCAGGGACCTCCAGGCCCTGCTCCCCGTCTTTCTCTCCTGCCCTCCACAGCTTCTCTCTGCCTTGCCCCTGACTTAAGAATACAGAATGTAGGCTGGGCGTTGGTGGCGCACGACTTTCATCTCAGCACTCTGGAGACTGATGCAGGTGGATCTCAGTGAGTTCAAGGCCGGCCTGGTCTACAGAGCGAGTGTCAGGATAGGCTCCAAAGCTACACAGAAACCCTGTTTCAAAAAAAAAAAGAATACAGAATGTCTTGTTCCTTTTCCTGGGTCAAGGCTACTCAAACCAAGTCTACCCGTTTCCAGAGAGCTACTGGCTGGCTCTACCTCACCTGCTTTCTGCCTCCTCCAATGTCCTCTTTCATTTTTTAAGAAGTTTAAGCAGGCAGGGTGGTGGTGCACACCTTAAATCCCAGAACTGGGGAGGCAGAGGCAGGCAGTTCTCTGTGAGTTCAAGGTTAGTCTGGTTACAGAGAGAGTTCCAGGACAGGCTCCAAAGCGCAGAGAAACCCTGTCTGGAAAACCAAACAAAAGTTATTTTATATTTACGAATGTTCTTTTTCATGTGTATATGAGCATCACATGTATGCCTGGTGACCATGGCAACCAGAAAAGGCTGTCAGGTTCCCCTGGAACTGGAGTTGCAGAGGATTGTGAGTTATTGTGTGGGTGCTGGGAACCAAATTCTGGTCCTTTGCAAGAGCAGCCATTGCTCCTAACTGCTGAGCCATCTCTCCAGCCCTTCCCCCAAGCTCTCCTGACACCTGCTCAACCCTTTCTGCCTTTAGTTCATTACTATAGATGCACCAGGGTAGCTGGGGGTTGACTGCGGGAACTTCCTATGTATGATTAAGGTGGCAGGATCTCCCAATCAATTCAATATTACTACTCTTACACTTCTAAACTGTGTGATCTCCCTCCCTGAGAATTCTAGTCTGGTGGTAGGCACTCCAAGTGGGAGTTAGGGAGGGAGGAAGGCCACATCCTTCTCTGCCTAAGGCCACCTGTTGACAAAAGAAAACTGGGTTTGGAGGTACTCTGGATTTCTAGTTCAGCCGTTCAGTAACTGTGGGTGTTGGCACAGATCAGTTAGTTAATTTCTCTGACTCTTCATTAATATTTTTTGAGACAGGATTTCTCTAGGTAGCTTGGAACTCATTCTGTAGACATGGATGACGTTGAACTCATAGAGATCAGCTTGCCTCTACCTCCTGAGTGCTGGGATTAAAGGTGTACAACATCCACTGCTCATATTTTTAAAAAAGATTTATTCATTTATTATCTATAGTGTTCTGCCTGCAATTATGCTTGCATCCCAGAAGGAGGCACCAGATCTGGTTATAGATGGTTGTGAGCCACCACACAGTTGCTGGAAATTGAACTCAGGACCTCTAGAAGAGCAGCCGGTGCTCTTAACCTCTGAGCCATCTCTCCAGCATCCACTTCATAAATTTAATGAGCAGGACTCATTATTAAAATGAAAAGGGGATGTGGAGCCAGAGACACTGCTCAGTGGTTAAGAGCACTTGCTCTTCTTACAGAGGACCTGAGTTCAGTACCCATCACCCACCTGGTGACTTGCAACTGTCTGTAATCCCAGTTCCAGGGATCCAGTGCCCTCATCTGGTCTCCTGTGAGGTACCAGGCACTCATCTGGCACACATACACACATGCAGGCAAAAAGTCATACACATAAGACAAAAACAAGTCTTACAAATAAATAACTAAGGGCTGGAGAAATGGCTCAGCAGGTAAAGGCCCCCACTGGTTGCCAAACTCAAGTCTGGCCCCTGGAACCAAACTGTTGGAAAGAAATATCCCAACTACATGGGAGACTGTCATCTCCACGGCTCACTGGGAATATACAAAGCCTCTTGAGTATGTGGAAGTCGAGGGAGCAGTTCTAGGAGGACACTGGCCTGGCGAGGAGATCTTGGCCTTGGCCCATCGAACCCGGTACTCCGGAAGCTGGGGCAGGATTGTCAGTGGGAGCCCCACCCGGTTACACCATCCATTGAGAGAAGCCTGACTGCAAGCCAGACAACACCTTCCAACCCAGAACTGGAAGAACACAGATGAATCCATGAAGGGTTGCTCCAGGAGAGGAGTCGAAGCCAGGGCTCTTCCTCCCTGACAGGATCCCTCCTGCCCAAGGGTCTCCTGGGAAAATGCTGCTGTCTCCTGCATACCAGACCCAAGCAGTTTAAAAAAAAAAAGGTTTTGATATGAAATTAGGGGGAGTAATGCGAAGATGAAGAGGGGATGAGAGGGGAGTCAGGTCACTTCTGCTAAAACCACACACACACACAGACACACACACACACACACACATCCCATACCTGCAAAGAGAGTCTCTGGGTACTGCCACACCAATAATACACACACACACACACACACACACACACACACACACACACACACACACACACTCCCTACCAGCAAAGTGAGCCCCTGAGTTTTCTGCTTCAGCAATCCAGAAGTGCATACGTTCCAGATACCACAGATGAATATGCATGCTGCGGGGAGGTCCTGAGGTAGCTGCAGAAGGCAGTTAAAGTGCTTGCTGCCCAGCCTGATGACCTGAGTTCTGCTCAGCCTGATGGCCTGAGTTCTCTGGGACCCGCATGGTGGAAGATGAGAACTAATTCCCACGAGCCCTCTGAACTCCACGTGGACACCACACACATCTACACACACACACACATCAATAGTTTAAATGAAATAAAATTTAAAAGGAGAAATACTCAGGTTTTGGGCCTAAGAACGCAGAACAAACCCCAGGAGGAGACCGAGAGGAGAGGGAGAGGTGGTGGATGAACGGCTAAGCCCTCCCGTGTCTCCTCCTTTCCCCCAACCCTGTTCCCTCTACCCCAGGTTGGCCCTTGTCACAGGGTCACACTCCTCCTCCCCTGGCTTCTCCCTCTCTAAGCTGTTCTGGTGCTGCGGGCTGGCAGGGTGGCTGCATTCAGGCCCCGCCTAGGTCACGGGTCACGGCTGGCCCGTGGAGGCAGAAGGTACCGAGCCTGTCACGCTGGCCTTGGGCTGGTGGTGACCTCGGGCTGGTGGTGTCCCAACTCCGTGCGTGACTCCGCCCTACCTCCCCCACGCGCGCACGCCCGTTTGTCTTCTCTGGGAGCAGCAGACGCTCACGCCCGAGTCCTCCTCGCTTGTCCCCAGCCCCGTGAGTCCCGGGATCCCATGGAGCCCGCGCACAGCGCGTCCCCGGGGGACGGCGCTGCTGAGGTGCTGCTGAGCGAGCTGGAGCGGCAGGTGCAGGACGTGGTGCGGGCGAGCTCCTGGTGGGAGCGCCGCGGTGTGGACTGCGCCATCCTCGCTCTCAGCCTGCTCGCCCTGCCAGCGGGTGAGACAAAGGCACGGGCTGCGGTTGGGGGTGGCGCGCAGGCTGGAACGGAACCCCAGGATCCCGCTTCAGTCTCCAAAGTCTAGTTGAGGGGCGTCTACCCCGTGCCCGGCTGGAGGTGGGAGAAAGTCCGACGCTTGATAGTAGTGAACGAAAAAGTTGCACGAGGAGTCCTGAATGGATGAGGAAGGGGATGGTGACAGGTGGAGAAGGGGTGGGGGTGGGAGGGGGGGTAGGAGAGGGATGGCAGAGATGGGCAGAGTGGGACTGAAGAAGCAGCCTGCACCTCTCTGTGACATCCAGCCCCCATCTCTGCTCGGGCTGGGGCTCAGGAAGGTGACCTGGCAGACGTGGACAGCAGAAAACCCTTGGCAAACCCACGGGGAATTTTTGTGTGTGTGTCCCAAATTCTATATAGAGAGGCCATCCACCATTCTCAGACCCAGGAACTTGTCCACCGCAGACCCAGGGCTGGCCCTCTTTGGCTCGGGCTTTGGAGATGTATGTTGTGCATGCGTATCTGGATCCGTATTTCCAAAAGATGGCTAAAGACCCTGATCCCTGGCCCCTCCTCTTTGCAGGGTTCCTGTGCCTGCGCTCCCATAATGTCCTGGCCTTTGCCACTGGCATCACAATCTTGGGCGTGTGCCATTACACTCTCACAGTCAAGGGCAGCCACCTGGCCACTCATGGTGCCCTCACCGAGTCCAAACGCTGGGGCAAGATCCTGATGATCTTCTTTGTGGAGGTGAGCCTGGCAGAGGTGGGGCAGGCAGTATCTGGGCGTCTATCTCTGTGTGTCCATGCACATGGGCAGGCAGCTGCTGCGGTGGGCAGGTGGATCCTAGTGTGCAGTGTGCAATTCAGTTCCTGTGTGTGTGCCCATGTATTTCCTAGTGTGCAGTGTGTGTGCCATGTAGTCCTCCAAACCCTAGAGAGGAAGTTGACATTAGTGAGTAACCCTGCATCCTACACAGCCTTGTATCTGCTTCTGATGATGAACTTGGCTTATCTTGTGACAATCTTTATTGGTTGTGTGGCATAAACATTTCTCACATCATGTTCCCTGTCCCTGGTGGTGTAATTTTTAAAAAAAGCAGCGTGTGAGAGAAACATGCCATGCATTCATCAGAGTTCAAGTGGAGGGTTCTTTTTTTTAATTAGGGGGAAAGGATAGTAAAAGGGGGAAAGGAGAGGGGGGGAGACCGGCCTCTGGGGACAGGAGCAGTGGGAGAGGGGGAGATAGAGAGAGAGACAGAGACAGAGAGAGGAAGAGAAGGAAAAGGATGGGAGGTGGGCAGGGCCCTTTTAAAAGGGAACACAGTGAATGTGCACAGGTGGTGCTCTCAGTGGCACCAGCTGAGGGCGGGGGTCAGAACCCCAAGGGCTGTGGTACAGACGCCTGAGCACCAACACCTGGGCCCCTCTAGCTCTCTCTGTAGTATTAGACCTAAGGTGGACAGTTTCTTCTTCCGTCCGGGATGCCCGCACCTGGCCGTTCTTGCTCTGGGATGTGCTGGCTCACGGAAACCTCTGGGTTCTGCAATCAGGGATTATTATTTGAAGGGGGGAGGTGTCACAGCGCTTCAGCTCTGTAGCTTGCTCTTTCACCTGCTGACGGCCGAGCCTGAGAGGCTCTTTGTTCCTTCAGCCCTCGGGGAGGCTCTGCGGTCTTTCCTTGCTCTGCCTTCCCACCCGTGGGCCTACTAGGAAGGCAAAGGCCTGGACAATTGCTCTTCAGGCCTCCCCAGACCCTCTGCCAAACGTGTTCTCTCTTGTACTCCAGGGGGGCCCTCACCTCGCCACCCAGATTCCTTAGGAATAGCTGGGGAAGCTGCCAGAAGGAACAGGCATTTCTGGGAAGGACCCATTATTGGGGCCAACCAACCCAGTTGCTGTATTTTATTAAGTCATGTAACTCTTTTTTAAAATTTTATACAATTTTTGCTTTATTTACATCTATTCGTTTGTTTTGTATGTGTGTGTGGGGTTGCATGCACCATGCATACCAGTGAAAGTCAAATGACAGCATGCAGGAGTGGTTCTCAGTTTTCTCTTGCCACCCTATGGATCCTGGGGATCCAACTCAGGTCCTTAGGCTTGACAGCAAGTTTAACTTGCTGGGTGGTTTTTATTTATGGGTATGTGTGTGCAACTACCTGTCTATGTGTGTACTGCACGCATGCAGTGCCTGCGGTGCCTGCGAAGGCCAGAAGAGGGCATCGGATCCCCGAGAATTGGAGTTAGAGGTGGCTGTGAGCCATCCGACGTGGGTGCTGGGAATGGAACCCAGGTCCTCTGCAAGGGCAGCAACTGCTTTCATCTGTTGAGCTATATCTTCTGCCCCCTAAATCATGAAACTTTTTATACAACTTTATGTAAGCACCACACACACACACACACACACACACACGCGCGCGCGCGCGCACAGAGAGAGAGAATCATTTCTTACCTAGCACTCCCTGCCCTCTCCTCCCCATCCCCCCATGCCTTCTTGTCAGTCCAGGCTTCTGAAGGGTTAGGGACATGAGGAACCCACAAGCTGACTATTCCTAGGGTCAGTTTTAAAACATTTCCCTTTCCAGGGAGCTCTAGGTCTGTCCAGACTCGGAGGCACAGTTGGAGCCTGGGGTCGGGGTCTGTAACCCGCCGGGAGAGGCAGGGGGTGATGTCTGTACTGTTTGTATGGACAGCATCCTAATGTTGGGACTCAAGAGTGCAGGCTTAGTTCTGCTTGGGTTTTCTAAAGTGGTGCCAGGTTCTAGGGCCTGTGGCTGACAGCGGATAAGAACCGCTGTCAGCCACAGATTAAGCACCTGCAAGGGTTTGTTGTGTGGCGGTTGCTCTGAAAGACTCTTATCAGGCTCTAGATGACTTGTGCCTGATCAGGCGCAAGGCCTTCTGATTTAGACTGCCTGCGGGACAGAGGGACCCTCCTGTGTGCGGAGTGGAGGCAGGGAGCTGAGACACTGCTGTTGAAATGTCCTCTTAGCGTTCCCTGCTTGGTAGCGCCTTCAGAAGCCTGGCACAGGGACCTGTGGAACCCAGACAGCCTTAGGCCTGAGTTCCGTTTGTTGCCCCCTAGCTTTGCCCCATGTGAACTTGGCTCCATGACCTCATCTTTTCCTCTTTCTTTGACCCAAGTTCTTAGCAGTTCTTCCATTGGTATTTGCTGACTGTGACCTTGCATTCCACTTGGGGACAAGGTCTAGGGGAAAGATAGCTAATGGTGTGTGTGTGTGTGTGTGTGTGTGTGTGTGTTGTTCTGCAGGCCTGTGGCCTTTTGTGACTGGGTAGGAAAGGCCTTGATTCCCCCATCACGTGACGCTGTTGGCTGCCGCAGTGGGCTTTGGTGAGCTGTGAGCAATGGAGAGGTAGTTTTGTCAGCCAGACCCTCTAAGTGACCCAGGCTGGGTGGCATCTCCACTCTCCAACCTTAAGCTACGACTCTGGCTCCCTCTAGGACCAGTTCCCAAGTATGTGGGAGTGTGGGTCAGCCCCACCTAGCTGGCTGGGACAACATCTTTGTAGCCTTGATTGGAGTCCCAGCCCCAATAGTGGTGACCTTGAGCAAGGTGGTTAATTCTATATCTGGGGTTAGTTTCTGTCTGTCTCTCTCTCCCTCTCTCTCTGTCTCTCTCCTCTCCCTCTCTGTCTGTCTCTCTCTCTGCCTGTCTCTCTTTCTCCTTTTTAAATTTTATTTAGAGGACCAATGCAGATATTCAGTACAAAATACACTGCTGCAAACAAACTTTCAAGTCTTATGATAATTACAGATTCATTGAGCATCTCGATGTAGGGCAGAGAAGCCTAGTGGATCGGATCGGCCATTGCTGTTTCCAGAAACAGGGATGTGTGTCATTCAATAGCAGAACCAAGGACGCTGATGTTGGCACTTGTATGTGTTCAGTTCTGTGCCCTTTTATCACACGTATAGATTCTCAAGATGCACAGTCCCCACAGGCTGTAGGGATGAGTGTTTGCCCTGCAGGCAGAAGGATGGGAGACTAGATCTCCAGATGGTGATGGGTGGACTTGTCGGCCCACCTGTAAGTCCAGCTTCAGGAGGCAGACAGTGGAATCCCCAGAGGAAGCTGCCTATCAAGGCTAGCTGTACTGGCAAGCTCTGGGCTGGACTGAGAGACACCACTTCAATAAATAAGGTGATATCAACTTCAGGCTTCTGCATACACACTTACCCATGTGCACATACATTGACACACACACACATGCCTGCATACGCACGCGCGCGCGCACACACACACACACACACACACACACACTTGAAAAGTGGGTTGGGGTGGGAGAAGCGGCTTGGTCTTTAATGTCAGTGGTGTAGAGGCTGGGAAACCCTGGAGGTATTTTGGAAGAGCTGCTGGTCAGGTGTCTGGAAGCCACTAGATCCTCACTGGGACCCAGATGAAAGGGGCCCAGAAGGTCCATGTGCCAGGCAGAAAGGTTTGCCAGGAGAAAGCGCTTAAGAAGTCCAGCAGTAGTCAGGCATGGAACCACACACCTTCCACCCAGCACTTAGGAGGCAGAGGCAGGCGGATCTCTGTGAGTTTGAGGCCAGCCTGGTCTACAGAGCAAGTTCCAGGACAGCCAGGACTACACAGTGAGATCTTGCCTCAAACACCAAGTCTGGGGCTACGTTTTCCTCTCGGGACATCGAGGGATCAGTCCCACCCATGCCCTCCTTTTATTTTATTTTATTATTTCCTCTTTTTTTTCTTCTGTCATTTAATCAGGAGTTGGGGCTGTAACTCAGTTGGCAGAGCACTTGCCCAGTGTGTACAAAAGCCCAAGTTTAATCCTCAGTACCAAGTTTAATCCTCAGTACTACATAAAGCCAGGCCTGGTGGTTCATACCTGTACCCAGCACTAGACATGTAGAGGCTGGAGTGTCAGGAGTTCAAGGTCATCCTCAGGTATACAGGGAGTTAGAGACCAGCTGGGAACTAGAGACCTTGCCCAAAGAAATAAAAACTGCTTTGCAGGATTAAAAAACAAGCATGAAATTACAGCACAGCCTAAATTGGGTTGAAACTAGGTCGCTCTGCTAGTTTGACTTGTGGTAGATGAAGCAGGCAACTGGCTGGAGGCTGTCGGTAGAGAGGTCAGGAGGAAGATAAGAGGAATTGCAGGGCCAGGCTGGGGCGCAGGGAAGGGGGGTTGCAGGAAGATGTTGGCTGGGTGCCATCTAGCACAAGGAGGTGGAAGGGGAGGGGTGGAGGAGTGAGAAGGGTCAAGGGAAAAATCTAGGTCTCCAGGTGGAAGCCAGAGCTGTCATGGGGCCACTCCTGAAATGGGCTAGGAGCGGAGGCGGCAGCATGGGCAGGGTTAGGAGAGGGGTGATGGTCACTGTCCCTCAGGCTGGGGGACGCAGGCTATGGCCAGCCCAGCCTCTGGCTGGTTCCCGGGGACTAGGTGGTCCCTTCCCAGCTCTGAGGGGTGGTCCCTCACCAGTAGGGTTTGTCAGTCAAAACAATTGGAAAAATGTGAGCTTCAACTAAGCCAGCAGTATTTTTTTTTAAATAAATATACCCGAATTGTGACATGGGTGTTACTGCAGTCTGGGCTTTCCGGTGCTGCCCCATTCAGGGAAAGCAGGTGCCTGAGGGCGGGTCCTCGGGGTACTAGGAATGGACAGTGACTTAACCACTCTGGGGAGAGGAGAGGGACAATAGTGAGGGCCACAGAAGAGAACCCTTCAGTGGATTTGCTTGGCCCAGAGTGAGCCATACGATGGAGTTGAGCATCGTTCATGCCTGCCCCTGGTATCCCCACAGGCCTAGCGTGGAGCCCCCAACACCCTCAGGGGCTGCACAATGCTTAAGTGAACAGACAACTGCAGGAAAAAATAAATCAGTCAGGGTTTTGAGTGCCCTAGAGCTTAAACAAAGAGCTGTCAGGGAATCCATACCCATTCACACTGCTCCCAACATATCCTGGGTGTTCACAGAACGTGAATGCTTAGACACACAGCACTCTTGAATCTTCCTGAAGGCACTCACCATGGAGGTTGGTGAGGATATTAAGGAGTCACATCAACCTTGAGGTTTCTGGAACTTTCTCTGAATCTGGATGAGGAAACGTCTTGGGTAAAACTTGGAAATGGGGCTGGAGAGATGGCTCAGCAGTTAAGAGCATTGACTGGCTGTTCTTCCAGAGGTCCTGAGTTCAATTCCCAGCAACCACACGGTGGCTCACATCTGTCTGTAATGAGATCTGGTGCTCTTGTCTGGTATGGATAAAAAAAAACACTCATATACATAAAATAAACAAATAAAAAACACCACCACCACCAAAAAGACTTGGAAATGGTGCCGGGCGGTGGTGCCGCACGCCTTTAATCCCAGCACTCGGGAGGCAGAGGCAGGCGGATCTCTGTGAGTTCGAGGCCAGGCTGGACCGACAGCCTCCAAAACAATACAGAGAAACCCTGTCTCGTAAAACAAACAAACAAACAAACAAAAAAACAAAACAGCAAAAAAAGACTTGGAAATGGTCCTTTACAGCTATATCTGTAATCCCAGCACCTGGGAGGCCAAAACAGTGAGCATTTACACATAAGTGTGCAAACTTACATGTGGACACATGAATATACAAAGGAGGGGGGGCTAGGTATCTAGTTATGAAAAACCTTAGGTAAGTTCTTATTCATAGAAAAAGACAGAATCCCTCATTGGCTCTGCACATGGGTACCAAGTCACAAGTCACACACCCGAGGGCCTGGGACCTTGCTAAGAAACCTCCAGGTACCTGAGGGTACCCGTCTCTAGACGCGCAGTCCTGGTTAGGCTCCGGGCTGGTTCTGGCATTGACTAAGAACATTTAGTTATTGGTCTGCAGGGAGAGGGGGAGCAGGGGCCAGAAGCAAAGTCAGCTGTCGATGGGCAAGCCGGGAGCTGCACGCAGCTGCAACTCTTGGTAAAGGAGAACTGGCCTGGGGGGAGAGCAAGAAGTTACTTCCAGGTGTCCCAGACATGGCTCAGGAAGTAAAAGCTACTATACAGTCCTAGTGACCTGAGTGTGATCCCTGGACCCTGCGTAAAGGTGGAAACAGAGAAGTGACTCTACAGAGTTGTCCTCTGACCTCACATGCATCGTGGCATTCGAGTGCCACCCATGCACACACGCATGCACACACACGTACACACACGCACACATGCACCCACGCATGCACAGCCATAGACACGCGTGCTCACACACTAATTAACAAAACAAACAAAAGGAGTTAGCTTCTTCTGCGTGGGACAGATCCCCAGGGGTGTAAAGCATACACTGGCAGGCCAGTGGGTGAGGCAGGCCTGACTGTGAGACCTGGTGCTCGGCCCATGCGCCCTGCAGTCTCCCTGCCTCACAGCGGCTGGCATTGAGAAGCTTCCCCTTCTCCTGGAAACAGGAAAGCATCTTCACTAAAGTCAAAATCTTCTGGCTTAGCTAAAACCCTGGAGGCCTTACATGTGCATGCTCATCTGCATATATCTGCCTAAGAAACAGCCTAGCACCTCTTTTGCATTCAGAACGGTTGCTCTCCTTGGCAGAGTGTGTGCTGTGCCTTGGTGAGTAGCACTGAAGAATCCCGTGGCAGACTCATGCCAAAAAAGTCACTCTAGGGAGATACTGGCTCTGTGCATACCTGTGCCCCAGTGCCCCTCCAGCCTGCATTATGGGCTCTTTGGAAAGTGGCCCCCATGCACCCTCAAACCACTCCTGGAAACTTCTCCTTGCTCCTCTGAGATCAGGCTGCCGAGGATTGTCAGGAAGGTACAGCTGTTTGCCAGGTACACACACAAAATAATTGTGGCGGATTCCCGCTTTATCTGCACTGACAACCTCTGGGCTGGTGGCCGGTGGGGTAGTGGCAAACCAGGGATCCAGCCTCCTGGTCCCTAAATGCCGTGCAGAGCAACATCAAGCAGATGGCAGTGTGCTACCCGGGGGGTCTCGGATGCTTGAGAGATGATGGACAAGTTAGACTGGCTGTGGATGCAGGGGAGGAGGGATGGGTTTGAGGAGGGTGGAGCGTTCTTGAGGCTCTCTGGGTTCTGCTTCGCTCAGTTGTGTCCAACATGGACCCAGCACCCTTTTGGCTCCCCCTCTAGGTATGCACAGCCTTTCCTGCAGAGGTCGCCAAGTTCAACCACGTCAACATGCACCATGGCTACACCAACGTGGTGGGTCTGGGAGACTCGAGCACATGGAAGGTGCCGTGCCTCAACCGATACATCTACATGTTCCTTGCACCACTTTCCATCCCCATTCTAACTCTACTGGTCGCTCTCGGTGAGTACTGGATGGGCGTGTCCTGAGGACCTGCCCCAGCCCGCTTTCCTTCCTCCCTTGCTTTGGGGATTCTGCTTGTGAAGACGGCTGGGAGTCAGGCTGGGAGTCAAGACTGTCAGAGGCAGCCAAGCTGGGTGGAAAGAACCCCGGGGCTGGTCCAGGTCTCTTCTTCACTTGCTGGCTGGTGGCTGTGGGCAGGTAACTTGACCTGCCTGCCTCAGGTCCTTCACCTGCTCAAGGATGGTGTGAAAACATAAGGAGCCCACGGACGTAAGGGAACTTTGTTGGGACTGGAGGGATGGCTCAGAGGTTAAGAGGGCTTTGGCTATTCCGCAGGACCAGACTTTAATTCCTAGCATCCATGCTGGGCTACTCACAATCCCCTGTAACTCCAGCTCCAGGGGGAATCAATCAACACCTCTGGCTTCCATGGGCACCAGCAGTTGCACACAACACACGCACACACTTCTAACAAAATTTTAAGAGTGGGGGGACCACTTCGTGGATGTCCCGGTACAAACCACACTGTAGGTTTAATTACTGCCATCATGGGACAATACCCAGGGGTAGGAGAACAGGGCTATGGAGCAGACCTTGACCTTGGCCACGGTGCAAAGGGCAGACATGCTTTTCGTGTTGTCTGGGTTCCCTGGATACACTCACGAGCACCCTCTACTTTAACACTCCTGGTTACATCACCTCTTGTCCCTCTGACAGAGCGTTTGAGGAAGGAAGAGCTGAGAGTGGCACTTCGGACGTTGGTCTTCATGTCATTGGGCCTTTATTCTCAGTACTGGCTGCTCCTGAATGTGTCGGGCTTCAGAAGCCCCAGTTCAGCGCTGGCTTGTATGCTGCTTGCCAGATCCCTGCTGGCCCACCCCTATCTCCATGTCAACATCTTCCAGGTAAGCTCTCAGCCCTGGAGACAGGCAGCAAAGAGAAGCATCTCCAGGGTGTCTGACAGTAGACCAGACCCAAGGGTTCTGGAGTCTGGGTGGAGAGAGGTCATCGAAGGATGCTTTCCCCAGTTCCTGCCCTATCACTGTGGGCCCCACAGGAAGTGTGGGTTTCACGGACGCCTTTGCCAGGTCCTGGAGACCCTCCTCGCTTTCTTCTCCGGTCATTCAAGGTCATGTTTGCACATCCTCCTCTACGGTCTCGTCCACCAGTGCATACAAATACCTTCCCCACTAGGCACTTCCCTGGGTCTAGGGTGCTTGGAGGTAAACAAGTACTTCAGTTGATGGGATACATTGAGAAGGTGGGGTAATTAGCTGCAGGTGTGCTGAGAGCCACAGGACTACGCAGAGAGATGGAACAGGTCTTCACCCACAGGGGAGCAGCGAGGTCTCCCCGTAGAAATGGTGCCAGCCTTGAATGCTGAACTCTTGGCTGTTCTCAGGACCTCCCACCCAGCCCCATCTCCTGCCCTGCCCTTAGCTTGCCTTGTGGCATTGGCTGGGCCCTCACTTTGCTCTACTTGAGTTTTGTTTTTTTTTGTTTGTTTGTTTGTTTTTTTTTTCCGAGACAGGGTTTCTCTGTGGCTTTGGAGGCTGTCCTGGAACTCGCTTGGTAGTCCAGGCTGGTCTCGAACTCACAGAGATCCGCCTGCCTCTGCCTCCCGAGTGCTGGGATTAAAGGCGTGCGCCACCAACGCCCGGCTCTACTTGAGTTTTGACACACAGGTAAGAGCATGTCACCAGCGTGAGGCATATAGGGTCACAAGAGCAAGCGGTGAGTCACGGGCATTTGAATACCAGGGCTCTGAAAAAAAAATGCATAGGCAAAGCCCTTCATCGTCCAGGCGGGGAGAGGCCCAGCTGTGCGGAAGACTCAGCTCATTGCAGACGGGGTTAGCCCTGGAACTGGGCTAGAGCTCATCTCTCACACCTGTAGGGTCCCATTGGTCCTTGTGTGCTTGGTGAAGACACACCCAGGGTCCTGTAAGCCCACGCGGGGCGTGACCCATGTGTCTGTCACAGCACATCGGATTGCCTATGTTCTCCCCGGACAAGAAGCCCCGGCGGATTCACATGATGAGCCTGGGGGTGCTGAACCTGCCTCGGCAGCCGGTGCTGGACTGGGCATTCGGCCACTCACTCATCAGCTGCCACGTAGAGCACCACCTCTTCCCTTGGCTCTCTGACCACATGTGCCTGAAGGTAGCCAGAGGCAGGGAGGAGGGGAGGGGAGGAAGGGCCCGTTTGAGGGTGGACGGTGGGAACCCCCAGGTACATCCAAACTCCATGTCCCCTCACTGACCTTTTCAAAGGTCACCCATGGAGGACAAGTGACCACATGGGTTTTATAGCAAAGTCACCTGGGTTTCCTAGCAGCAGTTGTGACGCTGGGCAAGTTCACTGAGCCTCAGTTTCCCTGTCTGTAAAATGGGAGGGGACAAGGTTCACCTTGATGGCTTTGAGGATGAGATTAGATCTGAAATATTTGACCCAAAGAAGATGCTTGGCAGAGGGAGCTGTGCTCACCCCTTGGGCTGAGGAAGGTGGACATGCAGTCAAGGGTCTTGTGGGGAATGAGGATGGGGCCAATCCTCCCCTCTAGGGTAGGGTAGAAGGATGCAAAAGTCCTCCTATCCTCCAGTCCCCCTCTACCCCAGCAGACAATGGCTGGGGTTGGACAAGGGGGAGCTCCTGGGATGGGCAGCCTTCTGCAGGCCTGCGACTCAGAAGGCTCTCTCTCTCTCTCCTTGACTCTTTCTCAGGTGAAGCCCTTGGTATCGAAGTTTCTTCATGACAAGCAGCTGCCCTATAATGAGGACTCATACCTGGCTCGCTTCCAGCTGTTCCTCAGTCGTTACGAGGAGTACATGGTGCACGCCCCGTCCATCACCGAGCTGGTGGGGGTGCAGTGAAGGCTGGGCCCCCTCTCTAGCCCAGTCCTGGCCCTCCTGCACTGCTGGCCCCGGTGGGACAGGTGGACCTGGGACATGGTGGCCTCAGGCAGACAGTGACGCAGAGCAGAGTGTGCCTGATGTCCTGGGGGACCCCTGCTCTGCCGGCTTTTCTGGGAGCTGAGTGGGGTCGGGGGCTGGGAGAAGGGAAGAGAGCAATATGGAGGCTGTGCGTCTTGATGCGCTCAGACCTCAGCCGACCCCATCTCAGGGTCCCCTTCTCTGCTGCATCTGAGCCGGGGCGGGGCTAAGGGGGCTGGTGACGGGTGAGGTGCGATCCTGTGCCCAGGTGGAGGGGTACAAAGAGAAGGGCCAGCCTCCTCAGCTCAGACCTCCCTAGTGCCTAGGCCGCACACTTCCCAGGCTGCTGCCTCCTCCCGTACCTCCCCCAGGGCCAGCAGGGTGAGGTCAGTTTCTGGCAGCCCCGCCCCTTAGCTCTTCAGCCATAGGAGCTGGTACCAGAGGGGGCTCAGAAGCTCCAGGACCCACAGTGTCAGTGAGCAAATGCCTCAGGCATGAAATTAGAAAAAGCACCCCCAGCTTTGAGCACGGCCTTGGCTACTCTACACAAGTGTGCTTTGCCCCATGTTTAGAAGGATCCGAGCTGGGTAAATTATACCGGGAGGCAGCTGAGGTGAACTGGAACTGGGCTAGCAGGGCAGAGAGGGATGAGCAAAGAGGGATGGGGGGGGTGAGATAGGAGAGTTGAGGACAAAGCTGGACTTGGCTGCGGGAGAGAGCAACCTGGGTGAAAGCTGCAGGTGCCAAACCTAGGAGGAAGCCAAGCTGGGGGACAACACAGAGATCCAGCCCAGGAGGCAACTGAGAGAGGCTGGGAACTGCCTCAGGCACAGAGTGGAGCAGGGAGTTCATGGAAGGACCCAGTGCAGACTAAAGGAGGGACAGCCGAGGTTAGACCTGCCCCTCCTTAGGGGCACTTAGTTCATGCCCTGGCTTCTCACCTCAGCCCCAGTGACATTTGGTTGGTTCCTGGCAGGCTGTGCTGAGCACCGTACGCACCCCTGGCTTCTACTGACTAGATGCTGGGAGCCCAAATTATGACAATCAAAACTGCTGACACAGCCAAATGTCTCCCGAGGGCCAAAGCGTCCTTGATGGAGAACATACAAGCCATCCTTCTGAGCCTATAACTGCAGTTAAATCATTGGAAGACTACCCTGACGATGGCAGGGTAAATGCTCGCAAAAGGAAACCCATGGGACGGGCAGTGGCTGGGAAGACCAGCCTGCTGGAACCGCCCCTGGGGTCTGATGTGGCCTAGGCAGAGGTAGCGGTCACTGGCCTGGAAATTCTCCTGCTGCTGTCTTGGCCTGGCCCTCCCCTAGCGGAGACCACTGCTCCTTCCAGGACCTGCTCCTCCAGCTGTGGCTCTTTGGGCTCTTTCTGGGCAGGGCCTGGCCTGGCAGTGGGTTCTAGCTGCTGTCGGCCCCTAGGTGCTTCTCTGCCTCTGTATCTGCTCCGAGTTCCTTCTTCACCTGCTCTCAACTCTCCCTTTGAATGTGTGCACTTTGTCCCTGCCAGGAGGTTCACAAACAGCACTTTTGGCTCCAAGCCGTCCTCCTGGGATGGGGTGGGCTTGGCAGCCACCACCACCTCCGGCTTTGCTGTATGTCGTTGCTGCTCATTTGAAATGCATTAGCAGTTCAGAAGGGGCCTTACAGTCTGAGAGTGTGATTCATCAAACTGCAAGCTCTCCCTATGAAAAATGCAACGTCAGAAGAGGGTCCAAAGCTAATGATTAAAATGATCCAAATGCACAGCTAATGACTCACTGCTATTGATCTGGGTCTGAATGGGGTGCATTTCAGGGCAGCAGCTAGAGGCCCTGGTAATAGACCTGACTATACTAAGGACACACTAGGAGCAAGTCAGTTTCCCTGAAATGCGGTCATCTGTTACTCTAAGGATGCAGGCTGGGAATACGGAGCTAAGACAAAGCATTACCAATGCACAAAGTCCTTCCAGGGCTCTGCAGTATCCCGGGGTCTAATGCAGAGCAGTGTATGGGGTGTGACAAAGCTAACTGATGTTTGCTTACCACATACGGAAGGCCCCTTTTGTTTTTATTTTGTTGCTTTGTTTTCTTGGCTGGTCTGGAACTCACCTGGTGGCTGGCCTTGAACTCAGAGATCTACCTGCCTCTACCTCAGTGGTTTTTAACTTTTCTAATGCTGCAACTCTTTAATATACTTCATGTTGTAGTGATCCCCCCAACCATAAAACTGTTTTCATTGCTACTTCATAACTGTAATTTTGCTACTGTTATGAACTGTAATGTAAACATTTGCTAAGCAGGATATCTGATATTCAAGCCCTGTGCAAAGGCTGTTCAACTCTCAATTGGTCCTAAGCCACAGGTTGAGAACCACCGCTCTACCGTCAAAATGCTGGGATTAAAGGTATACACTACCAGGCCAGGCTAGCATTTTTATCTGTCATCTAATTTTAATCTTTACAAGTTAGAATGATTCTTTTCTCGTGTTATAAAGGGAGAAAGAAAAGTTGATATTAACTCATTCAGTATCGTAACTGTTAAATTCAGACTCAGGATTTGAACTCAGTGACTCCAGAATCCATGCTATTGACTCTCAGACACTGCTTCAGAACGGGAAGCCCTATAGAGATTTTGGGTGTCTGAGCTCGAATTTCTATCTCTTTCTTCTACAAGACAGGATAATTGGTGACTTTATCATTAACTGAAGCTCAGTTGGCAGAGTGTTTGCCTAGCATGTAGACCCTGGAGTCAGACCCCATCACTGCATAGGCTAGGTCTGGTGGCATATGCCAGTGACTCTCAGCTCTTGGGAGGTAGAGGGAGGAGCATCAGGAGTTCAAGGTCATCCTCAGCTACCCTGCAAGTCAAGGCTAGCTTGGGCCACATTAGATCCTGTCTAAAAGAAGAAAAGGGGGCTGGAGAGATGGCTCCTTGGTTAAGAGCACTTCTTCCAGAGGTCCTGAGTTCAATCCCAGCAACCACATAGTGGCTCACAGACCATTAGAGGATCTGATGCCCTCTTCTGGCATAAAGGTGTGCATGCAGATAGAACACTTGTATACATTAAACCCATCCATCCATCCATCCATCCACCCATCCATCCATCCATCCATTAATCAAAGAAGAAAAACCAGAAAGATAAATCCCTTATGAGTGCTAGGCACTGTGTGACGCTCTGGGAATGAGTGAATGAGATTGTCCCTTACCCCAGCATCTTCATAAAACCTACAGTCCAATGTAGAATATACAGTTTTGTGAAAAAGGCCAGATAAATACTTGAGGTGTTGTGGACAATGTGATCTCTGTCACAACTACTCAACTATGCCATTAAAGTGTTAAGAGAGCCACATGAGCATGCTCCCAAGGCTTGGGGACCATCGTGGAAGTGGGGGGACAGAAAGACTGTAAGAGCCAGAGGTCAGGGAGTCATGTCATTCTGGACACGACAGGACCGCTGTACTCATGTACTCAGAACAGCCAGTGGTTGTCCACACAAGGTCAAGCCAAGGAAAATTCTAGCATAGAGGGGCTTCTTAGAGTTTCTATTGGAGACACTATGCCCACGGCACTTATATAAAGGAAAACATTTCATTGGGGCTGGCTTACAGTTCAGAGGTTTAGTCCTTTATCATGGCGAGAAGCATGGAGGCCCACAGGCAGATACAGTGATGGAGAGGGATTAAGAGTTCTACATCTCGGGGCTGGAGAGATGGCTCAGCGGTTAAGAGCACTGACTACTCTTCCAGAGGTCCTGAGTTCAATTCCCAGCAACCACATGGTGGCTCACAACCATCTACAATTCAATCTGGTGCCCTCTTCTGGCAGAACACTGTATGTGTAATAAAAAAAAAAGTTCTACATCTGGACCCTCAGGCAGCAGAAAGGAAGAGTGACTCTGGGCCCGGCTTGAGCATCTAAAACTTCAAAGCCCGCCCCCTGTGACACATTTCCTCTAACAAGGCCACACCTACTCCAACAAGGCCACACCCTTTAATAGTGCCACTCCCTGAGCCTTTTCCATTTGAACCACAAGGGGAGAAGGGCTCACAGTCCCCACTTCTAACTGAGGTTCTCCGAACGTTGGTGCTTTCTGGGGAAGGGAAGGTCAGTTTTCTTTAAGGGTGTGGCCCCTGGTAGGTCCACCATGCCATGAGTACTGGGATAACAGAAACTGGATTCACTGGGTTATTTAAAAAAAAGAGAGAGAACATGAAGTTGGGGTGGTAGGATGGATCTAGGAGGGATTAAGGGGAGACACAGGAAGTGAATGTAATCAAGATACATTGCACAAAATTCTCAAAGAATTAATAAAAAGTTTTAAAAAGAAACGAACACGGTAGCGTCCCAATAAATTTTATTTATAAACAAGTAATTTTCATGTCATAAAATATTAAATAAAAATTAAGATGGCTCAGTGGTTAAGAACACTTGCTGCACTTGCAGAGGGTCAGAGTTCCATTCCCAGTACCCATGTCAGACGGCTCACAACTGCTGGGAACCCCGCGCTGGTGGGTCTGAAGCCATATATATATCAACAGAAATGTTTCGTGGGTCACACGAAATAGGCCTGTGGGCAGCATCTGATGTGTTAGAGAATGATATTTACATCTCAATAGACAGCGAGGGAGTGACTTGAGTTACAGCAGAGGACCCTGGGATACACACTGTGTTCCGGTTCTCAATTTGGGTGTCAGTCACGTCATTACACCTTATAGCCCACCCAACTATGATTATGATGTGTGCATTCTCCTGTATGCTAAAATTCAATTACAAATAATCACTTGTTTGTTTGCCTTTTCAAGATAGGGTTTCTCCGCATAGCTCTGGCCCTCCTTGAGCTGAGTTAGGTCAGGCTGGCCTTGAACTCAGAGATTTGCCTGCATCTGCCTTCTGATGGCTGGGATTAAAGGCTTACACCGCCACAGCCTGGAGGTGTGTGTGTGTGTGTTTGTATCTTTTTTCAAGACAGGGTTTCTTCTGTGTAGCACTGGCTGTTTTGGAACTCACTCTGTAGACCAGGCTGGCCTCAAACTCAAGAGATCCATCTGCCTCTGCCTCCCAGTGCTGGGATTAAATGTGTGCACCTTTAATCTTAAAAAGAATCTTAAAATAGTGTCAAAAGTATGAAACATAAAACAGGGGAAGCTTCTGTTCTAGATTAAGCTCCCACACAAGGCTCTAGAAGACCAGAATAAAAACCAGCATGGAGGCAACTCAACAGGAAGTTAGCCAAACTGAAATCCAGCCGTTCACCTGGCTCAAGCAATCGGATGACAGGCAGGCCAGTCAGGCCAGTTTTACCCAGTACGGAGACATTCCCACTGCCATCTACCTTTCACAAAAGAAGCAGCACGCCGTTTTGTGATACCAGGGTCACTCAGGCTGGCCTTGTTGCTGCATTATGAAACAGAAAATTAAGCAAGGAGCAAGGGGTGCAGTTAAAAGGCAGAGCAATTGCACAAGTCCCTGGGTTTAAGTTTCGACAAAAATAACTAAGAGTCAGACGCTGTGGGGATGACAGGGTAGGTTAGTCTTCCAAGCAGGGGAAAATCCCTAAGGGGAGCATTAGGCTTACTGGTCAACGGTGACGATGAGTCCTGCCCTTGCTTTAGTTATATTTCTGGTGTTGTGGTTGCACATTAAGTAGACGCTCCAGCATCCTTAGCTCCTGTCCTTGTGTAGAAAACATTTGTGGGTCAGCAAGAGGGTAAAGCATCTTGCCGCCGGGCCTGCCATGAGTTCGATGCCCAAAAACTCACGCAGTGGAAAGAGAGAAGCTGAAAGCTGTCCTCTGACCACCACATGCCAATAAACTGTAATAAAATTTTAAAAATAGATATTGCTTATGTTTTGCATAAATTTCCTTCTAAAACATATAATTAGAATGTGAACGATTTACCTTGATCACTGAGCTTTTTGGGTGCCTCCTTAAAGTCTGCCTCTGAAGGCGCTGTCTCACCCTGATCCCTGGACTGCGGGACAGGGGTTGAAGGTCGGGACCTGCTCTCAGTGCCAGAGCGGAGTCTATTCGCGCGTTTCCTCCCGTATAATGGGGAGAAAGTGACGAGAAACAAGCTCTTGAGCGTTTAATTATCTTCCCCGGTCTGCCACGAACAGCATCTCTTCGAGACCACACCAATTCAACACCTAGACTTTAAAAAGAGGCATCCAGAATCGGGATACCAGAGACTTCCGGACTCTGGGCTCCTGATTGGCTGGGACAAAAAAAAAAATCACTCAAGGAAGGCATCCTATCAAAAAGGCCACACGGCAGCGGTGCTTGCGTCATCAGCAAGCGACCAGGCTTACGTTAAGTAAACTCCTTTCTCATTGGCTCCCCTTCTCTAAGAGCGACTGAAACGGCGTTGGGGATTCGCGTTTCTTCAAATCCTAGACTTCCGGCATCCGTAGCGACTAGGAAGACTGGGAAGAAATTTGTTAAGCTTTTAAAGTTCGGACGCTCTTGGGGGTAGGGGGTAGGACCTCGGAAGCTGGGGGCGTGGCTCTCCGTGGAGGCGGGGCTCTTCGGGAGTCGCGAGCGGAGGCTCCGTGCTGGGCTCTCCCGGCGAGCGGGCGGGAGGCGAGGTCTGGGGCGGGCCACGGTGATGGGCGGGCGCAGAGGACCGCCCCGCGGCGGGCTGCAGACCTGCGCTCCGCACCGAGGAGTCCCTGCGAGCCTTCCCGCCCGCTGCTTGCTCTTCTCAGCCATGGCTCTTCGCTGCTGGCGCCGGTGGCACCGGTCCGCGTGGCCTGGGGTCCGGCCGCCTCCCTCCAGGAGCACTCCGAGTAGGAGCGGGGCTCTTGGGGACTGCACCAGGGAGATGGGGGGCCGGGGGAGCTGTGATCAGGAGCAGGGGTCCGAGCGGAGCTGAGGCGGGGCTGGAGAGGGGCGAAGCTAGAAGGCGTCCGCTCCGGCGGGAGAAGCGGGAGTGGTGCCCAGGGGAGGAGGGTCTGTGCGATGAGGTGCGAGGCGTCCTGCGTAAGACGCGGGTCGGTGAAGGCGAAAAGGCTAGACCATGAGGTCCGCGTGTGTGAGCGAGGTGGATGGGGATGACAGGGGGGCGAGGGTATGGGCGGTAGAGTTCTGTGGAAAAGAAAGGAGAGAGAGAGAGAAAGCACGATAGAGACGTGATGGGGAGAGGAAGGCGTGGACTCGTACAGGGAGCCCCAGAAGAACACTGAAGTGCTGTGCGGGGCAGACTCAGGGGCCACGGGGGTCTGGAGTCGGCTGTCGTTGTCGGCGTAGCGCGTTCGTAGGTGAGGCTTGGGGTTCTGGATAAAGACAGCCTGTGACACTCAGATGAAATGGTGGAGCTCTGAGGACCAGAAAAAGAGGATGCAGGTGAGGGTGAAGGGTTAGGCTGCAGCTGGACAGAATTGGTTTGGGGTGGTTGGAGAGTGTTGATGTAACCTTGCTGTCCCCTCCCCTGCCCAGCCCCAGGCTTCTGCCAGCAGTTCTCCACACAGGAGACCCCTCGGATCTGTGTGGTTGGCAGTGGCCCAGCTGGCTTCTACACAGCCCAACACCTGTTAAAGGTAAGCCCCCCCTCCCCCTCTCTCTCCAGGCGCCTTTCTCATCGTTCATTTCCTGCCCGGTCCTGTGGGTGGGCTCCAGCCCTTCGCTTTGCCTGATAAGGAAGGGCCTCCCGGCTCTTCTAAGCTGTGTCCTTTCTACCCGATCCCACACCTGCAGCTGAGGTTCCCAGCCTGGGTCGTCCCTCAGCTGTGAGACACGTGTGTGTCCCATGCTTGGTGGTCAGTGACAGATGGGCTGCGCTCACGGCCTCACCAAGCAGCAAAGTGTTTTTTTCAGTCTTGCGCGATGGATGTATCCTCCCCTTATCTTCTTTTACATTTCTCCGTCTCCAGGCTCTCTCGTCCTCAGCTTTGCTGCCCTAACCCCAGCCCAGCCCTATGCCCATTTTCTCCCGCTAAAGGCCAAGGTCTCAAAGCTTTCAGTATTTGTCTTGTCAGGCAGGCCTCCAAGGCTATCAGATGCACTTGAAGTTCTGACTCAGACCTTAAGGCAAAAGAGGAAGGGGGAGGGGCTGGGGAGAAGGCCCCATGGTTGTCTCACAGAGGATGGGCATTGGGTTCCCAGCACCCACTTAGTGGCTCACAACTCCAGCTCCAGGGGATCTGATGACCTCTTCTGGCCGCTGCTTACACCCTTATTCATGTACTCTCTCTCTCTCTCTCTCTCTCTCTCTCTCTCTCTCTCTCTCTCTCTCTCTCTCTCTCTCTACACACACACACACACACACACACACACACACACACACACACACGACTAAAAATAATAAAAACAAGGTTTTTTTGTTCGTTTTTTAAAGAGTAAGAGATACCTGGGCTGACTGAGACGAGACAGTGTTTGAACTTTAGAGGGCTTGTGATATCCACAAGGCAGGAGGAAGGGCGGTTACATTGATAATGCATACAGACACTTGGAAGGCAGCGGGACCCGCTGGCCTGGATTACTCAGGGCTGACACTGGAAAGGTCTTACCGAGACCTCTGCTGAGAAGTGACCGGCACGTGACTCTGCAGCTACTCGCAAGGGTGGGGGACGAGGAATGGGGTGAGACACCCCGGATCTCAGGTTCGGAGGTCTCCCGGTGAGGTAAAGAGGTAGGGTGAGAAGAGGGGAGGAGAGGGAGGCCGTGACACAGCTACAAGATTTGAGGTCACAGGAGGGAGTGGGTAAGACGTCCCTAGGACATCCTGATGTGTGTCCAGAAGGAACAGAGGACTCCAGGCCAGAAGTGCCTCAGAGCCTGTTCCTTTCAGGACAGGGGCAGAGACGCGCAGTCGACAGGAGGAGAGAGGAGGTTCTTTAGAAATGGGCCTTTGAGGTAGGCTGGTGGAGAACCTTGTGCCCAGAAGGAAGTTTCCCTTTGTAGCAGGATGGAGTGGAAGATGGAGGCAGGGACGTCAGGCTGTTTAGGGATGCCGTATACATCCCTAAGCGGTTTGAGACAGAAGCATGGGGAGGGTTTTGAACAAGAAACGGTGTGCCCCAGTGGCAGCCACAGTCGTAATGTACCCGGATAAGTGTTGTGTCCTCCCACTGGGGGAGCCCAGAGCTGAGAGCTTGGGCCCTGACTCACTCAGCCTTGAGTGTGACCCAGAGGGATGGGACATTCTGTTGCACAGAAACGTGCAGAAGCTTTCCCTGTGATGGCCAGTTAGTGTTGGAACTGGGCCTGGCTCTGGCTGTTGACTTCATGGCCTGAGCTCTTTGTGGGTTCAGTTTCCATGGCGTTTGAGAGAGGTGATTTGGGAGGCCAAGGATAAAAGAGGCGGATGGGCTGGGGGGCTGGACTTGGGGGAGCAGGATTTGGACAAAGGCAGTGTTGGGAGGTCCTTTTGAACTGGCTGGGATAGGGCAGGACACAGGGCGAGCCACCCTACTTCCCTGGCCTCCCAGTTCACAGAGGAGACTGAGGCCCAGGGTGTCCTGGGGCCTCCCAGGCCCATGCTGTTGGTGGCAGCAAAGCCAGACCAAGCTTGCCTGGCCGAGTGCAGTCTCGTCCTTCGCTATGTCTTGCGAAGTGCCCTGGGAGGACAAGAAATGTGGGGCAGCTGACAGCTGGGGACAGGCCCACTGCCCTCCCTCTTGTCCCCTCATGCCCCAGCTGTGCCCATTCTCTCTGCCCCACACGCCCCAGCTGTGCCCCCACGCCCTGTCTTGCTGATCCCTGTCCCAGTGGCATCATCTTGGAGACTTAGACAGGGTCTCAAAGGCAGGATCTCGGGTCACGTGGTCAGCATATCTAGAGGGTGAAGGTCTACATCTGGCCCAAGGATTAAGCCCTGATACTTGCAGCTTCTCCTATCCTCCTTCGGAAGTCCTTGAATCTGACCTCAGCCTGTCTCACTGCCTATGGTCCTCCAGAACCCTTGTCAAGGCAGAAGGAGCGTCAGAGCCTTCTGTCTGCTCGTGGATGGTGGGAGCCGGGTTCCTTGGCCATTTGAGCTGCGTTTTCTTGCTCCGTCCAGGGAAGGGGGCTCTGTGGGGGCCCAGCCTCCCTCTTGTACCAGCAGCTGTGCTTTCCCCCAGCACCATAGCCGGGCCCATGTGGACATCTACGAGAAGCAGCTTGTGCCCTTTGGCCTGGTGCGCTTTGGCGTGGCACCTGATCACCCCGAAGTAAAGGTGGGTGTCTTTCGGTGTGGGGGGTGGTGTTGGAGACAGCAAAAATGAGGACAGAGAGGCTCCCTGGTGTGGTAGAAAGACCCTCACTGGGCTCTGTGTGTGATGGGACCCAGGCTCCACCCTGGGGGTCATGGGGTGAGGGTGGTGCTGACCCCCGGGAGCTGCCCCATCTTCTGATGTCCCTCTCCCCATGCCGCCTGGCAGAATGTCATCCACACGTTCACACAGACAGCCCGCTCAGATCGCTGTTCTTTCCGGGGCAACGTGGTGGTGGGCAGGGATGTGTCGGTGCCGGAGCTTCGGGAAGCCTACCACGCCGTGGTGTTGGTGAGTGCCCATGGGGTGGGGCTGATGGGAGACAGGAGGCTGGTGCTGAGGTCTCAGGCCTGGCTGGGGGCTACATCTCTCCTCAGAGCTATGGGGCGGAGGACCACCAGACCCTGGGAATTCCTGGCGAGGAGCTGCCTGGGGTGGTCTCAGCCCGGGCCTTTGTGGGCTGGTACAATGGGCTTCCAGAGAACCAGGAGGTGAGTCTGGGGAGCACTCGTGCTGCTTCTGGCCGGAATCGGCATCTCTGAGGGGTTAGAATTTGAGGTCAAGGCAGTGAGGAGTCAGCTGAGGATATGTGAGTCACTGACCACTGAGCCAGGTCATCTGTAGAGACCTTGGGGGTGGGCGGGGGGCGGGGAGCGGGCTACAGTGCACGGTCTAAGGGTAGGGCAGCCTGAGGCACAGCTGGGCCTGTCCTAAGGTGACTAGAGCTAGGGAAGGAGACACTCTATCAAGACCTTTCTCCTCCAGCTGGCACCGGATCTGAGCTGTGACACAGCTGTGATTCTGGGACAGGGGAATGTGGCTCTGGATGTGGCCCGGATCCTGCTGACCCCACCTGAGCACCTGGAGGTGAGGGGCAGTCGGCGGCAGGAGGGGTGGAGGTGGGAGAGCAGAGAATGCCCCAGCAGGTGGGGTCCAGGCCTCATCCCTCCAAACAGCCCAGTGCCCGTGTCCTCCAGGAGTCCTGGTAGATAAGACCCCTTCACACTCCTGTGTGCCACTGGGCATGGACACTCACGTTCTCCCTGTTTGGAACATCTGGACTGACCTGCTAGTTCAGAATTAATATTCCTCCCCCTTTTCATTCCTGGATCAACTATTCCTTCTGCCAAGAGGTCTCCCAGGCTGTCTTATGTCGGTGTTCCTTCTGTAATGTGGTCTCAGTTACTAGTGCCCTCTGCATCCGTAATCTTGCTTCTCTACGTGTTTACGTTCTGTGACGAGATTCGATTATCTATCTCCCCACAAAATAAGGATCCTGTGGGGTTCTGAACTAGCCTGTTTGGCTCACATATATTGCTCTTGCACCCTTAAACCCCTTGTCCAGTTCTGGATTCGTAAGTGGAAGCATCAGAGGGAATCCTGTTACCTAGGAGCCATTTGCAGAGTTGGTGCCAATCCCATATGTAGCCACCAGGGGGGTGCAGTGGTATAGTGTTTGGCTTTCTCTGGTTTGGAGCCGGAACAAGACCAACAGGCTTGGCAAGTACCCTCCTGCAAGTCAAGACAGACCCCCCCCCCCTTTCTTTTTCTGAGTTAAGGTCTTCTTATGTAGCCTTTACTGGCCTGGAACTCACTGTGTGGATCAGGCTGGCCTTGAACTCACAGAGATCCACATGCCTCTGTCTCATGTTCCACCATGCTTGGCCCTAACAGCCTCCTTTGTTTCAGAAAACAGACATCACAGAATCTGCCTTGGGGGCACTGAGGCAGAGTAGGGTGAAGACTGTGTGGATAGTGGGCCGGCGTGGACCCCTGCAAGCGGCCTTCACCATTAAGGTACTGGGTCCAGCGCGGAAGGAGCCTGGTCCCAAGGAGAGGCTCCCTTGTGTGTGCTGGGGTTGCCCCAGAGCCCTGGGAGCAGCCGCTTCCCTGGATGGAACAGTGGACCCCAGGGATGCTGGTCTTTCCCCACACTGCTGCTGGTCTCTCCCACCAGGGCTGAACTCTGGGGGGGTCCAGAAGTGCTCAGTGTTCTGGACCTGACCTCTTCCCCATCCTCACCCCCACCCCCTGCCCTCAAGGAGCTTCGAGAGATGATTCATTTGCCAGGAACTCGGCCCATTTTGGATCCTTCAGATTTCTTGGGCCTCCAGGACAGAATTAAGGGTGAGGGGCCAAGTCCAGCCCCCACCCCTGACTCACAGGCTTGGGGGAAGGTGCCCAGCAGGGACAGCCCCGAAATATCCCATGTTGCTGACAGATGTCCCCCGTCCGAGGAAACGGCTGACAGAGCTGCTGCTTCGGACAGCCACAGAGAAGCCAGGCACGGAGGAGGCTGCCCGCCAGGCACTGGCCTCCCGAGCCTGGGGCCTCCGCTTTTTCCGAAGCCCCCAGCAGGTGCTGCCCACACCAGATGGGCAACGGGTAGCAGGCATCCGCCTGGCAGTTACCAGACTGGAGGTGAGTCTCGTGTTACCCAAACTCCCCCCTTCCATCCCAACCTGGTGTTACCCACATTCTCCCCGACAGGGTGTTGGTGAGTCCACTCGGGCAGTGCCCACGGAAGATGTGGAGGACCTCCCTTGTGGGCTGGTGCTGAGCAGCGTTGGGTATAAGAGCCGCCCCATTGACCCCAGTGTGCCCTTTGACCCCAAGCTGGGAGTCATTCCCAACATAGAAGGCCGGGTTGTGAATGTACCAGGTGAGAGGCATGGGAGGCTGGGCATCTGATTATTAATGGGAGGCTGGAAGGCTGGAGTCCCAGGACCGCTCATTCTACAATGATGTAATGTGAGGCAGCTCTTGAGACAGGCCCAGACCTAGAACAGAGCCCCTCCCTCTCAGGCAAGCTGGGACGTTATTCAATAACAGTTACTGATGCCTGCCCTGCGCCAGCGCTGACACTGATGGGAGCCCCCGTCCTTGGGGAGCTTCACTCTTCTTACCCATGTGCCTATCTTGTTGTTCATTCATTCATTCATTCATTCATTCAGTAAATATTACTGAGGGCCTCCTGAACGGTGGTGAGCAAGTCTCAGCTCACGCCCCCAGTGAGCAGCTCATCCATAAGGAGGACGGCACGGGAAAACAAGAATCTATCGTGGGTCAGACATATTAGATTGGTGCACACCTTTAATCCCAGCACTTGGGAGGCAGAGGTAGGCGGATCTCTGAGTTCAAGGCCAGCCTGGTCTACAGAGTGAGTTGAAGGACAGCCAGGGCTACACAGAGAAACCCTGTCTCAAAAAACGAAATCAAACAAAAGTCACACAAAACACACACATATACACACTACCATGGTGAACCAGTGGCTGTAGTAGGTCAGGCCTCTGGGGTCTGAAACTGGGAGATGTGGTGTGTGTGTGTGTGTGTGTGTGTGTGTAGATTGGGAAGCAGACTTGCCAGGCAGTATCTCTTGCCCTTCTCAGGCCTCTATTGCAGTGGCTGGGTAAAGAGGGGACCCACAGGTGTCATCACCACGACTATGACGGACAGCTTCCTCACCAGCCAGGGGCTGCTGCAGGACCTGAAGGCGGGGCTGCTGCCCTCCGGCCCCAGACCCGGCTATGCAGCCATTCAAGCCCTGCTCAGCAGTCGAGGTCTGAGCCTAAGGCTGAGGTCTGGGAGTGGGGAGGGGTGAGGGCGACTTATCTTTGGAACGGTACCCTTGGTAGGGGGGGTCTTGAGGAGTTGAGGGAGTCGGTGGCATTAGTTTGTCTTCCTATCTGTCTTAGGGGTGCGGCCAGTCTCTTTCTCAGACTGGGAGAAGCTGGATGCTGAGGAGGTGTCTCGAGGCCAGGGCACTGGGAAACCGAGGGAGAAGCTGGTGGACCCAAGGGAGATGCTGCAGGTGCTGGGGCTCTGACCCTGGACCCCAGCCCTACCATGAAGAAGAGTCTTGCGCAAGGATGAGGGGGCCTGAGGCAGTCTGAGCTGGACTCTTCTCCCAGATACAGTGCTCACTGCCCTGGCCTGGAAGCCGGGCTGTGGCCCTTCCATGGGCCTCTGAGCTCCGCCTTCTTCAAGTTGACCTTGCCAGTGTGGGTCTAAGCCAAGGAGGGAACCTTAAGCTGGGGGTGACTGGATGTACAGGCTGACTCCACCCCCCCACTTCCTTCCTGATGAACTTTGAGGGCCCCTAAAATGGGAGCACAGCGAAAATAAAGCAGCTCTACCTAAGTGCCACGGTTGGTGGGCTACCTTTGGGGGGGGGAGAGTCACTTTCTGGCTTGTCTGTGGCTGCCAGATAGAACTAAGGAAAGAACCTTGCTCAAGAGCCTCTTGGGGCCCCGGGGGCCGGGCGCGTACCTCCCCTCCCTGGCCTGCCTGTTCTCTGCTTCTGTGGCCTCCCAGCCTTCAGTTCACACTTTGGTCACTGGTGACAAGTCCCTTAAAACAGTTGACAAAAGAAGAGAAGGGAGGCGGGCGTGAGGGCACTGGGCAGCTTGTCCCCAGCATGTCCGGTCTCTCCCGATTGCTGACAGGCTTGGTCTGGCCCTCCAATCTCCACATGCTCCGTGCCTTCCCGTTTTCAAGCGTCCTCACAAATCCACAAGCCTTTTCAAAAACTACCCCAGCCCGCGGCAGTTTACAGTCTCTTGTGGCAGCAAGATGCTGGCCTTACTTTATGAACTGAAGGAGCCTCGAAATTAACTGGCCCAAGGTCACACAGCTAGGGAACTAAGGACTCAAACCCAGGGTTCCTGGCAGGCAGGTGTTTTTCTCCGAGGCTGCCCTTGCCTCTGAGCGTTGGGTCTGGGGATGGTCCCTGAGCAGGAGAGAGGAGAGGTGGGCAGCTGGGAGTACAGGCTGGCAGGGAGGGGCCTAGAAGGGTCAGGGGGTGCCGGTGGCCGGCTGGGGCTGGCCAGGGCAGGACGGAGGCAACCGGCGGTGAGCTCCATCGCAGTCGGCTGATGAGTCCCGAGAGCGGGAGGCGCGCCTTTGTGCAGCCCGGGACACAGCCCTGCCGCGGGGCGCGGGCCGGGAGCGGGGGCGGGCAGCTTCCAGGCCGCGCCATCCTCACTGGTCCCGCCGCGCCCGGCTCCGGTGCCCGCCGAGCGCACAACCAGTGTGCCAGCTCTCAGAGACTGGTGCTGGGACAAGCATCACACGGGAGGCGGCCGCGGGCTTTGGGCGTAGGTGGAGCGCCCCTTCTCCGGGTGAGTGGTGGCCGGGGGCTGGCGATGAGCAGGGGGGGCGCCAACTTTGCAGGCAACTTAAGGGGCTCTGGTACCGCGCGGGCAAGGACGGTGGAGACAGACGCGGGACACCCGAGACTGTCCGGCCAGTTCGGGGAGTCAGGGACCCGGGGGACCATGACCCTCGCGAGCCAGACCGGTGTTGAGGACCTTAGCTAGCGCAGAGGAGGCAAGGTGAGACAGGCTTGGGAAGCAGGCTGGCCGCGGGCGCGAGGGAAGGACGCAGGCGGAGAGCCCAAGGCTTTTGTCCCTAGGGTCGCTGACTCTCCTTCCCGTCGCCTGTCGCGGTGGCCCGGCCAGGCTGGGCACAGTCCCCGGACGCGGGAATCTGGATTGCCTGGTCCAACTGTTGCGGGTGGAAGCTGCTGAGGCAAGGAACCCTTCAGAGGCCAGGACCTAGGACCGAGGCTGGGTTCGACCAGAGCGCAGGGCTGGAAAGGACACAGCTTGGAGAGCAGAGGGGGGGCTGTGGCAGTAGCTGGGCTGGTTCCTGCTGGGCACCTGCTGCTCATCTGCCGTTCATCGACCCCCTCATTGGGGTGAGTTCCCCAAGCCCTCTGCTTCCCATTCTCCTCCTGCCCCTTCCCTGGGAGCTCCTAACACTCCATCCTCTGACCTCCGAGATCAGTGGGTTTCTGGGGGTGACAGGATTTGCCCAAACGCTGACCCTACGCCCTGGCTCCAACAGGAGGGTGGGCGGGAAAGGCCACAGGAGAGCCCGTTCCCTGGTGCCCTGGGCCCCCGGAAGCACCAGTTGGAGGCTGTGGTCTCCTGGGGCTTCTACAAGGATCCCCCGACGGCTAGGAGAAGCCTTGGTCTCTGACTGCAGAAGCCCGTTTGTGCTTGGCCTAGGCGGGCAGGGGGAGAGCTGCCAAAAGCCAAGGTACCTAGCATGCTGCAAATCTCCCATGGGCATGTTTGGCGACACTTCAAAGGTCCTGTTGGGCGAGAGGCAGAAATATCCCTGGGGACGCTGACCCCATTTGATCACTTTGTTTCCCAGCCCCCCCTCCCCAATGGAGTATCTGGTACAGCACTCTTAGTATTCAGATGGTGGCCCAGTCCTGTCCCCATCAGCAAATCCCCTTCCCCTCAGCTACAAGACAAATTTCGGGGGGAAAAATCCTCATTTGGAGAAGATGCCATCCCATTGGCTTTTTGGAGCAGGTCCAGTTCCGGCCTCTGAGCTAGTTTCAAAACTTGTTAAGAATAAGAACGAGAAAGGGACAGGTCGGAAGGAAACCGGACGACTGGGGGTTCAATCTGGAGGGACCTGGGCTGGGTCCTGAACCACAGGCCATCCTGCCAGGCTAACCCGGCCATCCCTTGCCCAAGAACTTGAGACCCACACCTGGCTTGAGGCAGTGGGTTGGGGGCAGAGGACCTGAGGCATAGAGCGGGGGGGGGGGGTTGGGGGAAGAGAGAGTTCAGGGGGCAGTGGCCAGGCTGGGGGCGAGAAGTGCGTGGTGCTCAATTTGGCCGCCAGGAGGCGTGGCGCGGGTCCCCGCGCCCGGAGTCACCGCCACAGCCGCTGCATCGCGAGTGTCCTTGAGCGGCGAGTGATGGTGGCCCTTCGGTGCTCGCGCCCCCTCCTCCCGCAGGGGCAGCCGGATGCCACGTTCCCTGTGAATTATTTATCGCCGGCCTAAAAATACCCCGAACTTCACAGCCCCAGAGTAAGATTCCTGCGAGGGGAGGGGGCGGGGTGCCCCCGGGGGCTGAGAAGAATCAGCCCCGGGAGGGGGCAGTTAGTATTGGAAGAGGCAGAACTCAAGTGTCCCCACCAGTGTGGACGACGTAGAAGCTGTCTCGTTCTAGGTGCCTGGGGTGTTATGGGGGCAAAAGCCAAGGAAGGAGACACCGGGTAAAAGAGGGTAGTATCAGCGTGGGTCTCCCACTGGCAGGAATCAGCAGCCTAGGCGGATGATACTAGCTTTTGGGGACTAGAGCTTGTGGGCCTTGGGAGTGGGGGAGCCGTTAGCATCCCGGGTGTGAGGGCGTGTGTGTAAGTGTATGCACGGCCTTGTCGATGAGCCTGTGTGTGACTGGGGGTTGGTGGAAGCTGAAGAAAAGGTCTTTGAACTTGTGGGGGGTAATGGACCCTTTCAAGAGGGGCAGAGAGTCCTAAAGGACTGGCCACTGCTAACCTCTCCCCTGCACTCTCGGGAGTTCAGCAAACACAACTTTAAAGACCCTTTGAGAGGGAAGTGTCATCAGAGAGGAACAAAGGTCCAGCAATGGTGGAGGACCTGAGCAGGATCAGCTCTGAGCTCCACACCCTGCAGGAGAAAAGTAGAGGAACCCAAACACCCGTCTTTTTCCTGGGGGTCCAGGGCTGATGGGTCAAGATTCAGGGCGGAAACCTATACAAGGGGGACTCAGGTTGGACTCTGAAAGAAAATGGGATTTTGCTGGGGAGAGGCTTCCCTGACCCGAGGAACAAGCAGGAAGCAAGGCCTGGAGATGAAGACATATCACAGAGAAGCAGGGGTGAGCATCCTAGCAGGAGAAGACAGTGGATTTGGGTTAGCATGGTCCTTGGGAGTCATTTGTGGGCACCAGAGAGAAGCTGTCCTGCTTGACCTCTGTTGGAGGGACCGGGTGAAAGTTCTAGCAGTCAGGGCAGGAAGCAGATGGGGAGGAAAGGCTGGGAGCCAGGGACGTGGAATGGGATGGATCTTGTGAGGAGATGCCCTCTCACATTGCTTTGTAAGCTCAGAGACCTGCCGGATGCTGCGGGTCTTACAGTCTTACAACCTGCCTCTGTTTCCCCTCCTCTCCACCTTTAATCCAGGAGGATGTTTTCACATTGCAAGAACACTGGCAAGGAACATCCCCTTTCGGAGTTGGGAGAGAACCCAGGCCCTTCCCCGAGACTCACAATGTCCAGGAGAAAACAAAACAGCAGCCTCATGTGTGGTTTTAAAACTTTTAGTACCAACTGGGCGGTAGCACATGCCTTTAATCTCAGAGGCAGAGGCAGGCGGATCTCTGTGAGTTCAAGACCAGACTGGTCCACAGAGCAAGTTACAGGACAGCCAAGGCTACACAGAGAAACCCTGTCTCAGAAAAAAAAATCTAGTACCAACATTAATAAAAGAGGAAAAAGCCGGGTGTGATGGGCACATGTCTTTAATCTCAGCACTGGGGATGAAGAGGCAGTTCTAGTCTAAAACAGTGAGTTCTAAGCTAGCTGCAGTTACAGAGTGAAACTCTGCCTCAAAATAAATTAATAGTTAAATAAAATGGAAAATAAAATAACTGTCTCCCAAGGTGGTGGCAGCAGTGATCCTTGAGCCTGGGATGCCCCTCTCCCGCTGGGTTACGCTCTGGCTGGGCTCCTGTATCATTCATCCAACATTTTGTTTTGGTTTTCCTTTGCCCCTTCAAACTGTCGGGGGGGGGGGGGGGGTGGAGGGTGGGGTCGGGGGGTGGGGGGACCCAGCCATTCACCTAGCTCCCTTGGCCAGGTGTGAGGAAGTCACAGGCCTGGCCTGTTGAAGCTGCCTGCCTAGGCCTCCTCCCTCACAGCCCTGGTGGGGGAAGGGAGCTGGGTACTGTTCCTGCTTTAGGCTCCCCTCCCCTGTCTTCTCTTTAAATTCAATTTGGAATCAGAAAGCTGTGGATTCTGGCAAATGGTTTTGTACCCTGTATCCCACTCATCCCTGATTTGTCACCTCTGTTCTTACCAGTAGTCTTTCACCCCCAAGGTCACTTGTACAGACTGGGGACCAGCCCCCTTCCTGCCCCTTTAAGGATGGTGAGAAGGCAGGGAGGACACAGGGTCCCTCCCCAGGGGCGCCTTGCCCCCAAGAACTTTATTTACTCTTTCCTGCAGGCTCCCTCCCCTGACACACTTGTTAAAAACCAAACCTGAATAAAACTACAAGTTTGATATGAAAAAAAGAAAAACATGAAATTCTAATAGTATGATTTATTTAGTTAAGTACTTAGTTAGTTATTGGTTTTTTTTTTCAAGACAGGGTTTCTCTGTGCATCTCTGGCTATCCTGGAACTCAACTCAACTCTGTAGAACAGGTTGGCCTCTAACTCAGAGTTCCTCCTGCCTCTGCCTCCCAAGTGCTGGAATTAAAGGTGTGCACTACTATGTCTGGCTTAATATGGATAGTTTAATTCAATATATCCAAAATATCATTTTAACATGTAGTAAATATAAAAATATCAATGAGAGGGCTGGAGAGATGACTCAGAGGTTAAGAGCACTGACTGCTCTTCCAGAGGTCCTGAGTTCAATTCCCAGCCACCACATGGTGGCTCATAACCATCTGGTGCCCTCTTCTGGCATGGAGGCAGAACACTGTAAATATAATAAATAAATAAATCTTTAAAAAAAATCAATGAGGAGAGCTGGGAAGCTGACTCAGTGGATAAAGAACTTTCCATGTAAACGTGAGGACCAGAGTTTGCATCCCCAGAGCTTATGTAAATGCTGGGTGGGCACTGTAGCCTGCCTGCCTGTCACTCTAGTGCTCTGCCTGCCTGTCACTCTAGTGCTCTGCCTGCCTGTCACTCTAGTGCTCTGGGTTTGAAGGAAAGACTCTGCCTCCATGGATAAGGTGAGGAGTGAGTTAGGAAGATTTCTGATGCCTCAGGCCTCCACAAGTGCATGGGCACCCATACACACTTGAACATACACACACCACACACACTTGAACATACACACACCACACACACCCATACACACTTGAACATACATATACCACATACACATCACACACACCCGAACATACATACACCACACACACACACATACACACTTGAACATACACACCACACACACACATACACACTTGAACATACACACCACACACACACATACACACTTGAACATACATACACCACACACACATACACACTTGAACATACACACCACACACATACACACTTGAACATACACACCACACACACATACACACTTGAACATACACACCACACACACATACACACTTGAACATACACACCACACACATACACACTTGAACATACACACCACACACACACATACACACTTGAACATACACACCACACACACACATACACACTTGAACATACACACCACACACACATACACACTTGAACATACACACCACACACACATACACACTTGAACATACACACCACACACACACACACTTGAACATACACACCACACACACACACACACACTTGAACATACATATACCACATACACACCACACACACCCGAACATACATACACCACACACACACATACACACTTGAACATACACACACCACACACACCCATACACACTTGAACATACATATACCACATACACATCACACACACCCGAACATACATACACCACACACACACACATACACACTTGAACATACACACCACACACACACATACACACTTGAACATACACACCACACACACACATACACACTTGAACATACACACCACACACACATACACACTTGAACATACACACCACACACATACACACTTGAACATACACACCACACACACACATACACACTTGAACATACACACACCACACACACACACACACACTTGAACATACACACCACACACACATACACACTTGAACATACACACCACACACACACACACTTGAACATACACACCACACACACACACACACTTGAACATACATATACCACATACACACCACACACACCCGAACATACATACACCACACACACACACATACACACTTGAACATACACACCACACACACACATACATACTTGAACATACACACCACACACATACACACTTGAACATACACACCACACACACATACACACTTGAACATACACACCACACACACACACACTTGAACATACACACCACACACACACACACACTTGAACATACATATACCACATACACACCACACACACCCGAACATACATACACCACACACACACACATACACACTTGAACATACACACCACACACACACATACATACTTGAACATACACACCACACACACATACACACTTGAACATACATACACACACACACACACTTGAACATACATATACCACATACACACCACACACACCCGAACATACATACACCACACACACATACACACTTGAACATACACACCACACACACATACACACTTGAACATATACACATACCACACACACCCATACACACTTGAACATACATATACCACATACACACCACACACATCCAAACATACATACACCACACACACACACACACACACTTACTTGAACATACATATACCACATACACACCACACACACCCGAACATACATACACCACACACACACATACACACTTGAACATACACACCACACACACACATACACACTTGAACATACACACCACACACACATACACACTTGAACATACACACCACACACATACACACTTGAACATACACACCACACACATACATACACACTTGAACATACACACCACACACACATACACACTTGAACATATACACATACCACACACACCCATACACACTTGAACATACATATACCACATACACACCACACACATCCAAACATACATACACCACACACACATACACACTTGAACATACACACCACACACACACATACACACTTGAACATACACACCACACACACACATACACACTTGAACATACATACACCACACACACATACACACTTGAACATACACACCACACACATCACACACACATCACACACCACATACATACCACACTCACACATACACACACACCACACACACACCACATTAAAAAAACAAGAGTATTACTGAGGTAGCTTGTATACTGTTTTAAACCATCTTCACAGCATCTCTGATGTTCAGGGTACCTGCGTGCTCACAGCACGCCTCACTTCAGTGACACACATGCACTTCAAATTGGTCAGCCCGGGTGGGTGAAGAGGGCCTATTACTGGGAGACAGAGATGGTGGAGGCTTGGGGCTCCCCAATGAGAGGAACCTACAAGAACTGGATGAGCACACAGGCCTTCAAAGGGGCGGTGAGCATGACCGTGCCCTTAGCTGTTGTGCTTAGAAACGAGACCGTCCAAATCACATGGTGCGGTGTGACTTAAAATCCCATCCACACCCAGTCATGCTTCCAAGCTGCCATTCATAGACATGGAGCGATCTCACGGGTTCGAGTGACCCTACAGCATTCCTCCCTCTGCTGCCAATCCTCTCTTCTTTCTACCAGGCGCTTTGGCTTAAATCCCTGACATGCTAAATTTCATCCTGTCTGTCAGCGATAACACTGTCAACTGTTATCAGCTCCTTATACCTGTGTGAGCAAGTGCTGGGCCCTCAGCTGGGAGAAGGTCTGCTTGGCGGGGAGTAGGGAGGCCGGGTCTGATGGAAGGAGGGGGAGGAGCTTATAGCAGCCTGCTGGGTCAGCATCTCCCACTCTGAGTTCCTGGAGGGCAGAGACCATGTCTACCCAGGTTGTGTTAGCATCTCACCATCCAGCAACTCAGGCAAGGCGATCTGGGTGGTTCTTCTTTAAAGATTTATTTATATTCTATGTGTACAGTGTTCTGTCTGCAGGTCAGAAGAGAGCATCAGATCTCATTACAGATGGTTGTGAGCCACCATGTGGGTGCTGGGAATTGAACTCAGGACCTCTGGAAGAACAGCCAGTGCTCTTCACCTCTGAGCCATCTCTCCAGCCCCCCAGAAGGTGATCTGTGCACATGTGTACCAAGCCACACTTCGCAGCTGAAAAGTCACTGTGTGTGGTCCCCTTCAGAGCTGTCTTCTCAGCAGAGGAGTCTACTGCACACTCCCTGGTGACCCCGCTGCTCTGTTTGCTTAGAGAGAACTGGAGACTCAGGAGGGAAGCCTCTGGGGGGGGTTGTCACATAAGAGGGTGTCACATAAGAAATCAGACTTGGAACAAAAGGAAGAGAGATATGCAGTGGCCTGTAGAGCAGAGGAAAGGTCTGGAAGGAGCCATGGCTGCCCTGTGAGTTCCGAAGCTCCAGCCCGGGGTGCCATGTGCCTGGGTGGATTTGGGGTTCACTCTGCATTTCTGTGGCAAAGGTGTGCAAATCTCCTGCGTGGGAGTGTCAGGCCCACTCGGATAATTCTTCCACCCCCCCTGCTAGTTTTGTCAGAGGTGAGAGGAAGAGGAGAGGGTGACACGTGCTGTGTCTGTGGGCACCCGGGGGTCATGTTTCTCTCACCTGCTTAGCTCTTGGTCTTGATCCAGAGTGAATCTGTGTAGCAGACACACTTGAGTTAGACATAAAAGAAGATTCTACACGGCAGCTATGGGATGAGAAAGGGCAGATGTGAGCTGGATAGATACCTTAGAACTTCAAGTGTCCTGAGCCCAAGTGAGTTGGCCTCGACCCCCCCCCCGCTTGAGACGGCTGTCCTAAATGAGCTCCCTGAAGGGAAGGTGACAATGACATCCAAGCTCCGGGGGAGTGGATGTGCCAGGCAGAGCCACACAGCGGAGGGCCAGGGGCTGGCTCCATGGCAAGCAGAACACTCTGAGCCCTACTATTTGATGAGGGATAGATGCAAGATTCAGTTTGTCTGTGGAGTGGGCGGGACCACGGGAGTGCCAGGGGCCATGGGAGGAGTGCCAGGGACCACGGGAGTGAGTGACAGGGGCCACGGGAGTGAGTGCCAGGGGCCACGGGAGTGAGTGACAGGGGCCACGGGAGTGAGTGACAGGGGCCACGGGAGGAGTGCCAGGGACCACGGGAGTGAGTGACAGGGGCCACGGGAGTGAGTGCCAGGGGCCACGGGAGGAGTGCCAGGGACCACGGGAGTGAGTGACAGGGACCACGGGAGTGAGTGACAGGGGCCACGGGAGGAGTGCCAGGGGCCACGGGAGTGAGTGACAGGGGCCACGGGAGGAGTGCCAGGGGCCACGGGAGTGAGTGACAGGGGCCACGGGAGGAGTGCCAGGGACCACGGGAGTGAGTGACAGAGACCACGGGAATGCCAGGGGCCACGGGAGGAGTGCCAGGGACCACCTGTCTTCATCTGGCAGAGGGGCTGCGGCCTGCAGGGTAAAATTTGCTGATGCAGTGAATAGCTGGATCTCTCATTTTGAAAGTTCAGGAAGGCTAAGTGACTTCTCAAAGACCACACAGCAGAGGCTGGAGATGGAGAGAGGGCTCAGTGGTTGCAGAGGCCTTGCTGTCATTCCCAGTACACACGCCTGTCTGCTCACAACTAACTGCAGCTATAGCTTCAGGGGATCTGACTCTACAGGTACCCACGCATATGAGTACAGACCCCTACACAAACACACATCTTCACATAATTTTTTAATAAATCTTTTTTGTTTTAAAGATCACACAGCCGGTAAGTGGTGCTCCTGATTTGAACTCAGCTCTGAGCTCTTGAACAACACACTAACATTCCTGGGTCTTTGCTAGGGCAGAACCCAAATAACTGGGTTTGGGGATGGTGACCTTTCTAGCTATTCATAGATAAGGGTGACACACCTTGTCCTCGATTCTGCCTCTCCAAGGTGCCCTGGGGATGCTCAGCTAACCTGTCTCTTTCTCTGTGTCTCTGTTTGTCTGTCTGTTCTGTCTGTCTGTCTGCCTGTCTGTCTGTCTGTCTGCCTGCCTGCCTGCCTGCCTGCCTGCCTGCCTGTCTGCCTGCCTGCCTGTCTGTCTGTCTGCCTGCCTGCCTGCCTGTCTGTCTGTCTGTCTGTCTGTTCTGCCTGTCTGTCTGTCTGTCTGTCTGCCTGCCTGTCTGTCTGTCTCTCCTGTGGAGGGAGGTTCTCTCTTCTCTGTCATCTGGCTGTGTGTTCTCTGGTCCTTACCTCCTGTCTGTCCATCTCCCTCTCTCTGTGCCTGCTCTGGTTTTTTCTGCAGGACCTTCCAGTGGACATGGGTGGGGCCCTAGGGCCGGCCCTGCTGCTCACTTCACTCCTTGGTGCCTGGGCAGGGCCGGGCCCAGGGCAAGGAGGGCAGGCAGTGACGGTGGCAGTGGTGTTCAGCAGCTCTGGGCCACTGCAGGCCCAGGCCCCTACTCGCCTTACCACCCAGAACTTCCTGGACCTGCCTCTGGAGATCCAGCCACTCCCAGTTGGCATCAACAACACCAACCCCAGCAGCGTCCTCACCCACATCTGCGGGCTCCTGGGTGCCGCCCGCGTCCACGGCATCGTCTTTGAGGACAACGTAGACACCGAGGCAGTGGCCCAGCTACTGGACTTCGTCTCCTCCCAGACGCACGTGCCCATCCTCAGCATCAGTGGAGGCTCTGCTGTGGTCCTCACCCCCAAGGTGCCTGTCTAAAGTCTCTTCCTCCCTCCCTGAGGCCAGAGCTAGGCTGGAGCTGGGGCCCAGGGCTGCGCTTGGAGTAGGGAGCAGCTTAGGTCTTCAGGAGCTAGGGCTGGGTGGGACTGAAGATATGATGAGGGAGGGGGGGAAGTTCCCTTGCTACAGAGCAGGTGCTCTGAGGTGCTGCGCATTGGTGTCTGGATGAGGTGGGCAGACGGCCTTCCAGCTGTGATGGCCTGACAGCCTACTCTGCTTCTGCGGCTCATTGGGCAGGCCCTGGACCCTTTGGAAACTAAGCGTTCACACGTAGGGGATGGCACTATAGGGCCAGGTCACTGCTCCAGGCCTGGGAGAGACAGACACACTTGGTCCCTGGGGAGAAAGTTCCCAACACAGATTCATATACAACTCCAAGTGACAATTCCAAGTGACAGAGGTATTTTGAAGAAAAGACAGATGCCACCAGGGAAGGAGTCTCACAGGGCCTGTTTGGAGGGGGTGTTGGTCAGCTACGACCTTTCAGCCAATGGTGTCTGCTCTGAGACCAGAGGCTAAGGGGCAACTGGGAGGGATATAGGGGTCTGCTGGGAGCTTCTGCTGAACAGAGAGAAGCCTGGAGAAGGAGATAGGACTCCCCACTTGGGAAGCTTCTGGCTTTATTGTAAGTAAGAGCCAGACAAGGAAGATGATTTGTCAGAGCACTGGTTTGATCCGCTTCTGTTTCACGGCTCCTCCATCGCAGAGAATTTTGAGAACATACAGGAAGAGTATGTCCAGCTTGACCCACCTCCCCTCCCCGCAATCCTCCCTGGCCATTGCTTCCTCCGCTGCGGGAAACCGAAGCAGAATCCCAGACAGCTTATTATCCCACCCATACATATTTCAGTGTGCACCTCCAGCAGACAAACACTTAAAAAAAATAAACCCACCGTACGTTATCACCTCTAAAATAAATAACGAAAATTCCCTCAGCCTCCTCACATATCCAGCCAGTGGCCACCTTTCCCCACCGCCTCATAAATGTCACGCATGTTTACTTTTAAGTCTGTTTGCTTGGATTAGAAGCCAAATAAGATGCTCACACGGTGGCTGCAGCTCCAAGCTCTCCGCCTTGCACCCCGCCCCCTCTTTGAGACAGGGTGTCAGTCTGTAGCCCCAGCTGCCGGCTGGAACTTGCTGTGCAGACCAGGTTGGTCTTGAACTTGTGGCGACCCTCCGGTCTCCCAACTTGTTTCTCTTTTAATTGAAACGTGTCTATTGAAGAAACTGGGTTTGCAGCCTATAGTTTCCTTTAAAAAAAAATCGGATCGGAATGATGATAGTGACAAGGCGTCTTGGGAGGAGCCCGTAGAGGTGAGGAGACCTTAGGAGGAAACTGCTCACTGAAGTTAGCAGTGTCTGTGTTCTTTGGGTCATAGAGGTGTAAAGGAAGAACTTTCTGGCTCCCGAGGCTCTGAGCAGAATGGTGCTTTCCTGTTATCTAAGTCTGGGCCGGGCATCAACTCCCAGGACTTCGTTTCTCGGCTCTCATGGTTGCCTGGGAAGAGCGCAGAGCCTTGCGCTGGAATTCCAAGACTCAGATTTGGTTGGTCTGGGCAGTGCTAGTCAAACTCGCGGCTCAAGGGAAACCCGGAAGAGCTTGCTCATAGGCCGATTCCGGGCATCACCCTGAAATTCTGTTGGGTGCCATAGGTGCTGGTGTGCAGCTAGGACTTCTGGGTTTTTTGTTGTTTGTTTTGGTTTTTCGAGACAGAGTTTCTCTCTATAGCTCTAGCTGTCCTGGAACTCACTCTGTAGACCAGGCTGTCCTCGAACTCACAGAGAGCCGCCTGCCTCTGCCTCCCGAGTGCTGGGATTAAAGGTTTGTGCCACCACCGCACGGCGACTCCTGGATTTCTAATAAATTCACTGATGGTGCTGAGGCTTCTGATCGGTGGTCCAGCAGGGCCAGGTTGGGGGGCGGGAATTTTAGTTTGCAAAATTTCTCAGGTGAGTCCAATGGGCCACAGACCAGGGCTTCCCCGGGACACTGAGCCCTCACCACCCTCCTACTCTAGGGTTTCAGGAACAGGGAGAGGTGGGTGCAGGGGCGCAGGGCGAGGCTCATTCCGCCCCGCCCCTCACTCAGGCCCGCCACACCCCGTCCCCAGGAGCCTGGCTCCGCCTTCCTGCAGCTGGGCGTGTCCCTGGAGCAGCAGCTGCAGGTGCTGTTCAAGGTGCTGGAGGAATACGACTGGAGCGCGTTCGCCGTCATCACCAGCCTGCACCCGGGCCACGCGCTTTTCCTCGAGGGTGTGCGCGCCGTCGCTGACGCCAGCTACTTGAGCTGGCGCCTGCTGGACGTGCTCACACTGGAGTTGGGCCCGGGCGGTCCGCGAGCTCGCACTCAGCGCCTGCTGCGCCAGGTCGACGCGCCCGTGCTGGTGGCCTACTGCTCCCGCGAGGAGGCCGAGGTGCTCTTCGCTGAGGCTGCACAGGCCGGCCTGGTGGGACCCGGCCACGTGTGGCTGGTGCCTAACCTGGCGCTGGGGAGCACCGACGCGCCCCCGGCAGCCTTCCCGGTGGGCCTCATCAGTGTGGTCACCGAGAGCTGGCGCCTTAGCCTGCGCCAGAAGGTCCGCGACGGTGTGGCCATCCTGGCCCTCGGTGCCCACAGTTACCGACGCCAGTACGGTACCCTGCCTGCCCCGGCTGGGGACTGCCGAAGCCACCCAGGACCTGTCAGCCCTGCCAAGCAGGCCTTCTACAGGTAAACACCCGCCCGGTCATGTGGGGCACTGCAGGGGACTTGAGGGGCAGTGAGCTTGGGCTCCTGGTCTCTCTCATCTCCCAATAGCTCCCACTGGCATATGCTACATCAAGTTCCTTTAGGTCTCTGGGACTTAGCATCCTTATCTAAAGAAACAGCGGGTTTTAGGGTGTGGAAATGTCCACGGGGGTCAACACAGGGAGACGTTTAAAACAATAAGCACACGAATGCCCTACGATGGTGGTAGTGTGGGGTGCCCTTGGAGAGCCACATTCTGGAGTGGGACACCCTGGTATCTCTCTGCCTCACCCCCCTAGGCACCTACTGAATGTCACCTGGGAGGGCCGAGACTTCTCCTTCAGCCCCGGTGGGTACCTGGTCCAGCCCACCATGGTGGTGATCGCCCTCAACCGGCACCGCCTCTGGGAGATGGTGAGATGGGGGCGAGCCCGGGGCCCTCTGTTCCCTGTTATTTCCCCGCGGCTGAGCAGAGTCCCTTCCCCGAGAAACCTTTGAGGCCTCCCAGATGGTTTAGGTCCCCGTGGGCTCCCAGAACACAGTGCTTTCCTTGCACTACTGAACTTAAACATTTCTGTCACACAGTCCTGGCCCTAGGGGAGTGACCTATGTCTGAACTAGCCAGCTGGCCTAGTAAATAAGTAGAATAAGGGAAGATCAGTGCTTGAACACAGATGTATGCAAAACAGCACCGGGCATGGGGTGACTATTCATGCCTGTAATCCTAGCACTCAAGGGGCAGAGGCAGGAGGATTGCTTCAAATTCGAGCCTAGCTGGGTCGATTTGATTTATATAGCAAGTTACAGGCCAGCAGGGCTACACAGTGAGAACTTGTTTTAGCGCCCACCAAAACAAAAAAGGAAACCATCCAAAACAGCCAGTGAGTAGAGAGGAAAGGCAGGGATTGGTTTTGCTTCCGAAGGAAGAAACCAGGGCAGGCGGCATTACTGAATGTGGGATTTGTAAATTGGACTGTAGAGGGGTAAGAGCCCTGTAGGATGGGTACCAGCCTGGTATAGACAAAAGACTGTTCAATGATGGTGGAGCATTGGGGGGGCATGAGAAATGGGGGAACACTGGACACGGATGTTGGCTGAAGACTTCGTGCTGGCGTCATGGTGAAGTGAGCATGGCGAGACAGCCTGAGCTTTAGGGAGGTGCTTTGGGCCAGCATCAATGTGGCGACAGCCTTGGAGACCACAAGGCCTGGAGGAGGCTATGGGGAGCCTGCCCTTTGTCCGTGTTCAGCCGTTGGCCTCTATTTCTGTCTTCCAAGCCTCTCCCCAAGCCTCCCTAATCTGTCTGCCCCGGGTACCTTTAGGGTTCATGGTCTCCAGAAGCCCTATCTGGAGGGTAGGCGGTGGGGGCGGTGCTGCAGGCTTGGGCTGAGGCAGGTAGTTCCCTGCAGGTGGGGCGCTGGGATCGTGGAGTCCTGTACATGAAGTATCCAGTATGGCCTCGCTACAGCACTTCTCTGCAGCCTGTGGTGGACAGCCGGCACCTGACGGTGGCCACACTGGAAGAACGGTCCTTCGTCATCGTAGAGAGCCCTGACCCTGGCACAGGCGGCTGTGTACCCAACACTGTGCCCTGCCGTAGGCAGAGCAACCACACCGTCAGGTCTGGTGTGATCTGGGTGCTGTCCTGGGTGGGTCAGCTGCTGTGTGTGTGTGTCTCATGCTTGCGTGGGCGGTGGGGTCCACACACCAGGCTGGGAGGCACGGCTGGGGCTGAGAGCTCTGGTGAGCTCTGACTTGTGTTGGTGGCTGCAGCAGTGGGGACATAACCCCCTACACCAAGCTCTGCTGCAAGGGTTTCTGCATCGACATCCTCAAAAAGCTGGCCAAGGCGGTCAAGTTCTCCTACGACCTGTACCTGGTGACCAACGGCAAGCATGGCAAGAGGGTTCGCGGTGTGTGGAATGGCATGGTCGGGGAGGTACGTCAACCCCCGTGCAACCACAGGTTCGACTGGGGCACCCTGATTGCTTCTAGATGTCTTGTTTCCCTCAGCCACGTGGCTGTGCAACGGGGCTGTCAGCTCTGCAGTGAAGTCCTGGGAACTGAGCTCTGAGGACCCAGGGAGGGGGTAGCCAGGTCCACTGGCGGCTGCTAGTGCACTTCCTGGGTGGGGGCTGGGGAGAGTGCTGAAGTCCTTTCGGGGGGGACTCTTCGATCTCCTCCTGCCCCTAGGTATACTACAAGCGGGCAGACATGGCCATCGGCTCCCTCACCATCAACGAGGAGCGCTCTGAGATCATAGACTTCTCGGTGCCTTTCGTGGAGACCGGCATCAGCGTGATGGTGGCAAGGAGCAATGGCACCGTCTCCCCCTCGGCTTTCCTGGGTGAGTTTCCTGGCCAGTGAAGGCTCTGGGCACGGGGATCCAGGGTTGGGCATGGGGGGTACAAACAGAAAGGTGGAGCTTGGGATGGACACTCAAAGCCAAGCGTGGTACCCTTGAGAGCCTTAGAGGGTAGGGGAGGCGAGTGAAGCGAAATGATGGTGTGAAGCCAATGTGAGTGGGTTCTGGGCCGGGTCAGGGTGAAAAGATTCGGGTGTCAATTGGAGCCGCTGATTGGCTGGTGGCTCCAGACTGTGTGGTCATGGACCAAGGATGAAGCATGAGAGAGATGCTAATGGCTTCCTTACTCCATTAGGTATCCTAGCTATTATTAGAGGTCTGTCCCATTGTGCCAGGCCCCCAGCCAGGTTACAGGTTACAGCATTCAACTAAGGTCCTTCTCTTTCTAGGGTGTCCAGTGGCGGGGGGGGGGGGTCAGGTGGGCTTGTAGCACGAAGTGGCTCAGAGAGCTGTAAGGACAGGTGGGATTCTGGGGGAGGGCCTGAGAGCTGGCTCAGTCAGTGTGAGCCCCCAGCTCTGTCCCTTCTTGCTGGGTGGCTTTAAGAAAGTCACAGAGTCTAAAGTGGTGGTGCACACCTTTAAACCCAGCACTTGGGAGGCAGAGGCAGGAGGATCTCTGGGAGTTTAAGGCCAGCCTGGTCTACACAGTGATAGTGAGTTCCAGGCCAGCCAGGGCAAAACACACACACACACACACACACACACACACACACACACACACACACAAAACCTCTATGAGTGTCAGAAAAGACAGTCAACCCCACCACTCCCTAGGATGACCTTCCCAGCAAAGGAGCAAGTGCTTCAGATAGTAATGGTTCCTTAATCCAGGAGGCAAACTCTGAAGGGTCCCATATCAGTGGAATATGGAGTAAGACTTGCCCTCAGGGCCTTATTCTCCAGGCAGAGGGATTGGAACCCTCCCCAGTAACAGGCCCTGCTGGAGATGTAGGAGCTATGAAGATCTAAAGTAGAGTGATGTGTGGTCCCGGGGCAGAAGGAAGGAGGAAGCCTTGAACACCGTACACCGTCCTTCCTTAGGCTCTTTGGCACTCGGTGGCTCTGGGGCACTTTGGCCCCACCCACAGGGCTGCCAGGGTCCTCCTCGGCACTCATCTCCAGTTGCTGCTGCCTAGTCCTGTTGGGATGGGGCGGGGTTGAGGTCTCTGAGCCGCTCGCCTTGGTCCCCAGAGCCCTACAGCCCTGCCGTGTGGGTGATGATGTTTGTAATGTGCCTCACCGTGGTTGCCGTCACTGTCTTCATGTTCGAGTACTTCAGCCCTGTCAGCTACAACCAGAACCTCACCAAGGGCAAGAGTAAGCTGTTCCACGGGCCTGGGTGGAGGGACAGGGTGGGTGGAAAGACCAATGATGAGGACCCCACCAGGCAGAGCCCTTTCATAGTGGGTCAGGAAGCCCCAGCATTCACCCTCTCAAACCCAGAATCTGGAGGACCGTCCTTCACCATTGGCAAATCCGTGTGGTTGCTGTGGGCACTGGTCTTCAACAACTCTGTTCCCATCGAGAACCCCCCGGGGTACCACCAGCAAGATCATGGTCCTGGTGTGGGCTTTCTTCGCTGTCATCTTCCTTGCCAGCTACACGGCCAACCTGGCAGCCTTCATGATCCAGGAGCAGTACATCGACACTGTGTCGGGCCTGAGTGACAAGAAGGTTCCTGGGCCACAGCCAGGTGGAGGGTGGGGACACACCAAGGGTGGGGACAGACCTTGGACGGGCAGACACAGTCTGGGGAATTGGGACTAAGGCTGGAGTGGGAAGAATTTGGGGGGCCTGGGGAGAAGGATCCATGGCTGCTCAGGTCCGCAGTCTGAGTGGCCTTGGCTAAGTCTCCCCATCTCTCAGACTTCTGTGTCTCCATCTGTTAAAGACGGAGGGGACACGGGGGGGGGGGCGCGGGGGGGCGCTGGGCTGTGCCTAAGACTCTGCAAGTCAGACTTGGGGCTGGGACTCTGGTTCCCTAAAGGCGAGATGAAGAGGGTGGGAGTGGCTTGCTTTCTGCCCGCAGTTTCAGCGGCCTCAAGATCAGTACCCGCCCTTCCGCTTTGGCACGGTGCCCAACGGCAGCACAGAGAGGAACATTCGGAGCAACTACCGTGACATGCACACCCACATGGTCAAGTTCAACCAGCGCTCGGTGGAGGATGCTCTCACAAGCCTGAAGATGGGGTGGGTCCCCAGCCCTGTGCCCTCCTCTGCTTCCGGCTCCATGTCTCCCCGGGAAGCACCCTTAGGTGTCCCTTCCCTTCCTTAGAGACCTGAGGTGGGGACAGTGGAGCTGGCATGTCTTGTGGGGCTCCCAGGGAAAGGGATCTTGAGGCAGAGTAGAAAGTGAAATGGATATTTACCATATGGGATGGAAATACAGGTGAAGTGTTGACCCGAGTTTGGGGTGGTGACCACAAAGTTGCAGGCTCTTGAGGGCACGAGGGGATGAGCAGAGGGACCGCATATTCCAGGGCAGAGTTCTCTGTCCTCTCTGAGGAGTGAGGAAGGGGTCCTTGCAGGGGGGGGGCCTGCAGGCTCCTGCACTCAGCCCCTTGGACGGCCCGGGGTTGGTCCTTCCCTCTCCCCTGCCTGGGTCCTTGGCCCTGAGGGCTCAGCCTGTCTCTAGGAAGCTGGATGCCTTCATCTACGATGCTGCTGTCCTCAACTACATGGCGGGGAAGGATGAAGGTTGCAAGTTGGTCACCATTGGATCTGGCAAGGTCTTTGCCACCACTGGCTATGGCATTGCCATGCAGAAAGACTCCCACTGGAAGAGGGCCATAGACCTGGCACTCCTGCAGTTCCTGGGGGACGGTGAGTGCCATCGGTTGTAGGGTGGAGCACAGAGCCTGTGGTTATCAGCATCTCCATCATCATTTCTGCGTGCACAGAGCCTCCTCAGGGAAAGGCCTCTGGGGTGGTGACGGCGCAGTTGGGGTGGGGAAAAGCCGATGAGCCCTCGGGAAGGGATCACTTGTAAGAAGGAGCAAGGACCAGAGCTGGGGTTCCCCCAAAGGGCAGGAAAGGCAAGGATGCACTCACTCCAGTTGCCTGGTGGGGTTCTGAGTGGCTGAGCGCCCCCAGGTACCTTCTGGTTTTCCTAGATGAGTATTTCTCTTCTGTCATCTTGAGATTACCTGGGGATGGGGACAAACTTCTGCCTGCTCCCAAGCTAGAAGCAGGCTAGCCTTGGCAGCAGGGCTCACAAGTTGGAGTGGCCAGCCCAGCCTGCTCTACACCCAGAGAAAGCTGAGTTTACAGTTCCCTCTATAGCTGATAGCATGTTGTCTGAGCTGGGTATGGGGGGTGGGTACCTGTAATTGTAGCACACAGGGGACCCAGATGGAGAGGTCATGAGTTTGAGGACAGCCTGGACTGCAAATCAAGAGCTTATCTCAAAATAAAACAAAACACACCCCATGCCTCGGGGCTGCAGGGATGCTTCAGTGGCTGAGAGCGTGCACTGCTCTTGCAGAGGGCCTGGGTTTGGTTCCCAGCACCCACATCAGGTAGCTCACAACCGACTGTAGCTCCAGTGAGATGGGGATTGGATACCTCTGGCCCTCATAGCACCCACACGATGCCCATGCACAGACATACATATAATGAAAAATAAGTCTCACCCCCATAACCTTAAACTCAAAACACTGTCAATACCATAAATTCTGAGTCACAGTGAGAGCAAACAAGAGTGTTTGTGATTTCCCAGGGACCCAGCTCCAGCTTGGCATGTCAGTGGTAAAGAATGTATGAGAGGAATGAATGATCGAATGCTAAAATTTAACCAACTGGCAAAGCCTTAGCCCTCAGGCATGGTAGTGTCAGCCTGTAATCCCAGCACTTGGGAGGGGGAGGCAGGAGGCACAGTAATTTGGCCAGCCTGAGCTACATGAAACCCTGTCTCAAAACAAAACAAACAACAGCAAAGACAAGACTTCACGGGGCACATGGGAGAGGGCAGGTAAAGGGCGCAAGGCTGACTTCCCTTGCTAGTTTCCCTCTGCCCTTTCTTCTTGCTTACTGGCTGCCCTTGTCCCGCTCTCTGCAGCACTGGGCCCCACTAGGAAACACGGATGTAGGACTGTCCTCTCTCCAGGCTCAGGGAGTGTTGGCGGGGCTTGGGGCAAAGGAGGCGGTCCTGAGTCCTGTGTGTACCCTCCGGCAGGAGAGACCCAGAAGCTGGAGACCGTGTGGCTTTCAGGCATCTGCCAGAATGAGAAGAACGAAGTGATGAGCAGCAAACTGGACATCGACAACATGGCGGGTGTCTTCTACATGCTGTTGGTGGCCATGGGGCTGGCCTTGCTCGTCTTTGCCTGGGAGCACCTCGTCTACTGGAAACTTCGCCACTCAGTGCCCAACTCACCCCAGTTGGACTTCCTGCTGGCTTTCAGCAGGGTAGGTGCCTGACTCTTCCTACACAGGTCTCGGTGTTAGGGACAGCAACCCAGCTGGCTGTGGACCCACTTACAGATGTAAAACCGAGATCTTGGGAAGAGGCGCGGTTTGCCAGTATGGTGGGGCTTTGAGTCCTCCCTGTCATTCGCTAGAAAGTGTCGTTAGAACAAATAAACCTGACACTTCATTTGTCTGCAGAATAGCACATCGCCTGACACACAGGGAGCACACAGTTGGGGTTTAAAAAGCTGTTTCTTGGAACATGGCTGGGGACGGTGATGGCTGGTCTCTGAGAAGACCGCTCAGCTCATCGCCTGTCTCTCACTCTATTGCCTAGGGCATCTACAGCTGCTTCAACGGGGTACAGAGCCTCCCCAGCCCCGCGCGGCCGCCCAGCCCGGACCTCACAGCAGGCTCAGCCCAGGCCAATGTGTTGAAGATGCTGCAGGCGGCTCGAGACATGGTGAACAGCGCGGATATGAGCAGCTCCCTGAACCGCGCCACACGCACCATTGAGAACTGGGGCAGCAACTGCCGAGCACCTGCTCCCACCAGCTCCGGCCCGCGGTCATCCACCCCGGGACCTCCAGGACAAAGGAGTCCCAGTGGCTGGGGGCCTCCTGGTGGCGGCCTCCCACCACAAACGCGCAGGGCCCCGCAGCTCCCCGGCCGCCCCGCGACGTGCGGGCCGCCTGTGCCCGAAGTGTCCCGAGCACCCTGCAGGCACGCTTGGGATGCGCGGTGGCCGGTGCGGGTCGGACACCCGGGGCGGCACCTCTCGGACTCCGAGCGGCGCGCGCTCCGGGAGCGCTCCCTGTTGTCCGCGCACTGCCACTACAGCTCCTTCCCTCGAGCTGAGAGATCCGGGCGCCCCTTCCTCCCGCTCTTCCCGGAGCCCCCAGAGCCCGACGACCTGCCGCTGCTGGGGCCAGAACAGCTGGCTCGGCGGGAAGCTCTGCTGCGCGCGGCCTGGGCCCGGGGTCCGCGTCCTCGCCATGCTTCCCTACCCAGCACGGTAGCAGAAGCCTTCACTCGATCCAGCCCGCTACCTGCCAGGTGCACCGGTCACGGCTGTGCCTGCCCCTGCCCCCAACGCCAGCCATCCTGCCGGCATTTGGTTCAGGCACAGTCGATGCGGCTGCCGTCCTACAGGGAGGCCTGTGTGGAGGGTGTACCGGCAGGGGTGGCCACCTGGCAGCCTAGACAGCACGTCTGCCTGCACACCCATACCCACCTGCCATTCTGTTGGGGGGCTGTCTGTCGTCATCCTCTACCCTGTGCCAGCCACAACCCCTGGCACGTCGGAGCGTGGGAGCCTCCATTACACAGACGCAGGACCCTGGGGCTGGGCACAGGCTACAGGGACAGTGGGGTGCTGGAAGAGGTCAGCAGGGACGCCCGTGGGACACAAAGTTTCCCAAGGTCCTGCACCTGGAGGCGGATCTCCAGCCTGGAATCAGAAGTGTGAGGAACTGGCTGCTCTGGTTCCTGTTCGACTGGATTTGGTGGCTGGCCTTGGCCATGTTTAGTGGGCAGGCAAGCGTGGGCTTCTGGGCTTCTACTTTGAGATCCTGGCCACGGGACCCCAGTGAAGATGATGTCTGCCATGGCCAGCTTGTGACCTTAACCGGCTCAGGTCCTGGTGTGGGTTGGGATCTTACCCATCACACAAAGCCTTGCAGTCACAGGGAGTAAAAATGGGTCTCTGTCCCGGTGCCAGCCAGTTCCTGGTTGTGGTTGCTGTGGCCCTGGGCTGGGAACACAGAAACTGGAACTGGAGGAAGGGGTGGGGCCATCCCACCCCTTGCTCCAGGAGGCTGGAATGTCTTCTCATTAGATCACGGGAGCATTAAAGCAATGTTTTACAACCCACTTGGTACACACTGCCTCATTCTACCTCCTGGAGGGTGCATGGTACAGCCTGGGGTGTATTATGGGCTGGACGTCTGCTTACAGCATGTGAACAGCTCTGTCTAGGGAAGCCTTAGCTTCAAGGGCGTCCAAGAGAGGTGGGAATAGGTGAGGCTGAGGCAGGGGGCTCCTGGGCAGTAGAAACCATTTGGTATTCAGGTCCAGTCCCGCCTACTCTGTGACAACTGTGTTCACTATGGGGGCTCTGGAGCTCACGAGTTGAGTTCATCACTCAGTAATCCCTGAAAACGGAGGCTCTTTCTGGGGACGGGCTGCTGGTCTGTCTGGGGAGTCTGCCAAGCTTGCCTGGGGACTGGCCCAGGTCTCTGGGAGGTGGCACAGGTGCTGTTCTGGGTTCAGCTTCCACTGTGCTTTTCAGGTGGGATAATTTGCCCATGTGCCCAGCTCCCACCCTCCGTCTGGGGTGCCCTTCTGACTGCCTTTCATTGTCACATGTCACTGGTTCTGGGCACCTCTGTAAGGATGGCTTCTGCCATCTTATGAAGCCTTTCAAATTTTCCCGCCAGCAATTACATCTGCTCTCCAATAATGACTCTGTGAAGTAAGCAAGCATCGGTCACCATTCCAAGTGTGGTCAGCATTACTGGTCCAGTCAGACCCCCTGTGCTGCTACGGATGTAAAGCAGGGGTCCCGCTGTCCTCTACAGGTTAGGTGGGGTGGAGGCTGGCAGATAATTCTTCCATGTGACAGGGAGGGAGGTGAGGCCAGGGGAGGGGAGTGCTGGGTGCAGTGACCCCTAGTGTCCTCTATCACAGTTGCCTCTTCAGTCTCCAATGACCACTATGCTTGGGGCCACAATAACTGAGCTTTTTTAGTTGCAAGTCAGATATGTTTCCATTATGGGCAGAATCTGATCACCCTAAGAATGGGTAGCCCCCTCTTTTACAGTCATAATCACTGCCTTACGGCTGTTTTCAAGATAGAACCAGGCAACAGCAACAGGTGGATTGTAAGCCTAGGTGAGTACTAACAATAGTGCTCTCTGGAAGGGAGCACAGACAATAGTGCTCTCTGGAAGGGAGCACCAACAATCTGGAAAGAAGCATCAACAATCTGGAAAGGAGCACCAACAATAGTGCTCTCTGGAAGGGAGCCCGACGTTGGATCCAGACATGACCCAGCGGTGACAGGGTTAACTGATAGCTGTCAGTTTCTGGACCCCGTTTTCCCACCCTCCTGGGTCTGTGTGCAGCTGTGGGAGAAGGCTGCAGCAGGTGAGCCGGGGAGGAGGCGGGGGGTCTAGGCTGCTCTGCTTGCTGCCCAAGATCATTAATAACCAAGAACTGGAAAGATAATTAAGAGTCAAATGCGGAACTGAGCCCGCTGTTGGCTCCAAGGAGGGCTGCGGCTGCTTGCTGGCCCAGGTGCCAGCAGCCCGGCTCTTTTCTAGGCATGTATAGGGGGGCAAGGGCCGATGTCTTGGCTTCTTGTTCATGGTGGAAGAGCTCTGGCTCTCTCAGACCTCTGGGAGGAGGTAGAAAGACCAAGGGGGGAGGAGAAATGTGAGGTCACAGGAGAGAAAGCATCTAACACGGGTCCTGACAACCCCACCTCCAATGCTCTTTCCTTCCTTTTGATGTGGCATGCAGTGGGACATGCTTACAGTCTGACCCAGTTCCCTCCCGTGGCTGCCCTCGCTGCTTCCCTTGTTTGGTTTTAGTCAAAAGCTCACACACACACACCGGCCTTTTCCAGGGGAGCCGGTGCTCATAAAGGGGGTGGGGATGGAGTGACATTTCTAGCCATGTCCCTCAGGCTTTACTTACCTTGCTCTTTGCAAGGGGAGGGTCACCCTCAAGATTCCTAGGAGACTAGGGAGCCACGGCCAACCCTTCTCTTTCCCAAGCCCTTGCAGACTCCGGGCTGGTACCCAGAGTCTGAAGTGCACCAGGCAGCGGCTACAGGACTCCCTACATTTCACTAGGAGTTGATAGAGCCAAGTAGTACCTGCCAGTCTCAGCCGAGTTCTGTCTGCCCTGGGTTAGTAGTGCAGTCACAGCTGGCAAATGACTGAGGAGACAACTGTTGGTAATAGCAGCTTTATTAAGGACTTCGGTGCTGGGCTACGTTCAGTCCTTTCATTCCATGATCTGGAGGTACCTAGAAGAGGGGCGGTGCAGATGCCCACTGCTCAGAGGCCACGGGGTCTGATAGTTTGGTCCTCACAGTGTATCCAACACTGTTCCAGGCCTGAAGCATGCCCCTGGGAGGGTGGACAGGGCTTGCCTGCAGCCTGGCTATTGAGAGCTAACCTCAGTGGCCCCTGGCAACAGTCGGCAGGCAGGCCTCAGCTTTCCTCTGCCCCCGGGCCTGGAACCACCAGAGACTCCTCTTCCGCTGGAGCCTCATGAGGCTGGCATTGCCTGTTGCTGAGGCTGCTCTTGGCCCTATGTGGTGAGGACAGCTGTGTGGCCTTGGGCCTGGCCTGGCGCCCACTGCCACTTTCTGGCCCTCAGCAGTGCCCCGCAGCCTGTCACCTGCCATCTGCCCCAGCTCCCAGCCTCGGGTGAGGCACAGCCAGAGTTCCTGGCACTGTGCTCTGTGCACAGCTGGGCCCAGTGAATGCTCGCTCCCACCTTGACCTGGCCTGCCCTCGGGAGGGGCTAGTCCGGAGAGCAATGCAGGTAGATGACAGTGCCTACTGCCAAGTTCCAGACCTCCTCCAAGGAGAGTCGGATCTGGGCCAGGCCGGGGAGGCTCCTCTGCTGTCTGCCCCACCAGTAACCTCAGGGCCTCTTTGCAAACAGACACCATGGCCTGGCCCATCACCTTACCCAGGGGATGCAAAAGCATTTAATGTGCTTGATGCCTGTGGGGGACCAAGTGTCACCCACACCCAGGGACGCTAAGCCCGACTCCTCTGCCAGTGACAGAGGCCTGGTGTGGTGAGGAAGGTGACCTCACGTGACTTCTAGCAGACCAGACAATGGGTGGAGATGGAAGAGCAGAGAACCTAGACAGCGTGCAGGGGTGGGGGTGGGGGGCTTCAGCTTGGCATCAGTGGTCACCGGGTCCCTCCTCCCTCCTAGGCTGGGGCCTCCCCAACTTAACCTGGAGGTGGAGGGGAACCATGGACCACGCTACTGCTGTGTGTGGCTCCAGGTTGCCATATAACTCAACCTGGGCTTTATGATGCTAATGAACTTTCCACCGACATTTGGTTTGGAGCCTGGGGGCAGGATGAGGTGTGTGTGTGTGTGTCTGTTTCAGTAAGATGATTTAATTTGCTTTGTCCTTAAGCAAGAGGGAGAAGGGTAAGTAAGATATTTTAATTGAGTTTTCGGCCCGCACAAGGGAGGATGGGCGGCCTTCCTCATCCCGGGACCTGCTTTCCCCACTTGGCCCGCCCTGGGGCAGGGTCTTCTAGGAAGGCGCTGTGATGGCAGATGGGTGGAGGGCTGTCTGCTCTTCATGTGGCTGGGCAGTGATGATGCTCAAGAACTACTAACGTGGGACAGCGGTGACGAAGCTGTAGACGGGCCCGTTGTGACCTAGAGATTCTTAGACACAGGGATGCTGGGGCCAGAGGGCCAGAGGCGGCAGGTGCCACCAGTAGACCCCACACTCCTTGAGGGTTCTGCACGGACCCCTGGGTCACAGGGCACCCAACAGCACAGCAGAGCTCAAGCTTTAAATACGGCAGGATGTAGAAGGGAAGGAAGGGGTGGCTGGCGCAAGTTCCCTCATGAGGGTCGAGCAAGGCACTGGAATCAAGAGGGAGGGCTGGGGGTCTGAGACCCTTCACCCCAGAGGCAGCTCTGTCCAGAGCAGGCGGGACTAGGCCCAGGGCTGGGGCAAGTCAGGGTAAGGAGGGATCCCTGGTGCCCAAAGCAGAAGGCACATTGAAAATGCAGTTCATTAAATCGCTCGTCATTCCAAGGCATTGGGCCTAGTGGGTGCATGCTGACTGGATGGGAGGCAGCGGGGAGCCTGGCCTCCTTCCACACCCCCTCCAGTTCCACAGGAGCCCCTGAGCACCCACGACCACACTCCTAAGGCCACTACCACCTTAGTGTTGCAATGCAGCATGGGAGGAAGCTAGGCTACGGAACACAGGGCGGACCTTTCGCAGGGGGGCACTCTGCTCTCTCCCTGTCCTAGATCCAGGGCAATCAGCCACGATGGGTAGTGAGGGCAGCTTCTCAAGCCGACCCTGCACTTCAGGAGGCCCCTGGGCTCCACAGCAGAAGCCAGGGGGCAGAAGCTTTAAACCCTGTGGCTTTAAACCCAAGGAAGGGTTGCTTCATCTGTCTGCTGCACCAGAGGTGTCACCCACAGCAAAAACTCTCACAGCTCTTGTCTAGGGACCCTGGGACCAATGAACACTTCCTGTCCTTGTCACCAGAGCTGGCCAGGCCTCCCACAAGAGGAATACTTAGCAACTGTCAGGACTGTCAGGAAATGGGCCCTGCCCATTACAAGTAGGCCAGGTTAGGAGAGCCGGGGCCTGGGAACTCGCCTTTGAAGAGGCAGCCGCTGCTAGTGGACGGTGGATGATGCAGAAGGGGACAGGGGGTCTAGTATAAATAGCAGCAGTGCCAGCACTGTCTCCCCCGCTGCACAGAGAAAGGAGCCAGCCTCCAGTGGCGGGAGTGGAGGGATGTGTGTGACAGACTGGGTCCATCCCAGAACCTGGGGACAGCCACGTTCCCAGGCAGGAGGGCTGTCTTGCAGGGCGAGGCCTGTGTCGGGAGAGGACACCAGCTGGAGATGTAGAAGGCCTTCTCCGAGAGCCCCGGTCTAGCATGCTCATGTAGACTGGGTGGCACTCAGAAACTGCTCGGAGGCAGGGAGGCTGGCGCTGGGCTGTCCCTGCCTCCTGTTGTCAGGTGCATCCTGCTGTCAGAGCTGGGTCTCGCTGAGGACGATGTTGGCTGTGACAAAGAAGAAGCAGGAGAAAGCCCACAGTAGCACAAAGGCCACCCAGAAGGTGTGGCGGAACGGGGACCTATGCTTGTTGACAACTCCATAGCCAAAGGTCAGCTGGGTGTCCTTGCGGCAGAGGTACACCAGGAAGGCGGGGATGACATACTGGATGCCGGTGCCCGCGTAGGCTCCTGTAATGCCCACCAGGGACTCCAGGTCATGGGTGCAGAAGGCCACCAGAATGGGAGGCACCAGGGTGATGGTGGGAAACACCACGCGGTCTACCACCCACGGGTACGTGCCACCCTCTCGGTGGAAGAGCGTCTTCCAGTTGTTGCGCAGGGTCACGGCAATGATGGGGAAGTTGGTGCTGATGGTGAAGACGGGGAAGAGGCCCAGGAAGAATCGCACAGCAGCCAGGCTCACAACATCGCACCTTGCAAAATTGAGGGTGTACATGTCCATGAGGCTGTCGCCACGGAAGCAGAAGATGGCCGTGAAGGAGAGGAGTCCGTAGAAGGCCAGGATCAACCCGTAGTCCAGGAACACCAGGCGTGTGATGTGGCGCTTGGAGGAGATGGGGGTGATGAGGGAAGGCAGGGAGTGTTGGCACATGAAGGAGTAGACACACACCCCAAACAAGTTCCGAACCCCCAAGAAGTTGGCCAGGGGTGGGTGCCCCTCTCCTTGTCTGTTCCCGATGCGCACCAGGGCCAGCACAATCATGATGGCGAAAGCTGTAAGACAAGGAGGGGTCAGTTGGCGAGGGTGAATGGTCTCACCCCTCAGTCGCTGCTCCGCAGGGCTGTGTAAGGACTGAACCCCGGGGGAAGGAACCGTGAACCCCACAGCCACGTGGGAGCTGCTGAGCTTATGTGTGTTCCAGGTGCCCATGTCCGGTTCTCCCCCCTCTTCCCAGAAATGGGCCTGGACGTGACCCGGACGAAGAAGAAACTGGGCTGCTAGCAGGATGGTTCCGCCTGGCAAGGAGCTACCGGCTCCCTCCTCGTCTTCCAAGGACTCTCAGAGACAGGGGCTTCCTGTCAGGGGCACTCATCCTGTCAGGCCCACACTGAGCCCTTGTCTCTTCCATGGTTTCCAGTCTCTGTGCCTGTGGAGCCGGGTGTGGTGTGAGGAGCCGAGGGCTGAAAGGCACACAGCACATCTGGGAGGTGGCGGCCTCAGGCTGAGGTCCCCAGCTACAGGTGGGTCAGAGGGCAGGAATACCGGGAGCTGTGTGAAGGGCTGGGTGACCAGGGCCTTCAGCAGGTGGGAAGAAATGACACCAGAGAGCAGTGCTAGAGACAGGTGAAGTCTCAGGACTGGTCCTAAGGCTGGTGGCAATTGGCACGTGGCTCTGTTATCCTGGGCTTGGTGGCATAGTTAGGGGACGGGAAATTTGCCACAGAAGAGCGTCTATAACCCTATCTGTTCAGATGAGCTACAGGCTTTCCCTGTAGCCAGAGGCAGCTTGGCTCCGCCTGTGGACGGCTCACCAGCCTGAAGATACCCAAGTAGAGCACTCACTACAGCACAGTCAATGGCAAGCTTCCTGGCAACAAGACGGCATTTCTAGACCTCTGCAGCTTCCGATGTCTGCTACTGACATCACCCAGAATGGCCACACACAGGGACCTCCGGGTTTTCGTCTCCATTTTGAATTTATATAACCCTACTGTCTCTATTCAGAACAGGTCTGACACTCCCTGTCCACAGGGCACGTGACACTTCTTTGTGAGCAGCAGGACAGAAGAGGCTGACATGTCCCCATCTGGGTGCCCCATCAGAGGATCAGGGCTCTTCCTCGGTTTGAAGCTGGGGGACCAGTAACACCCGCCTCGGGGCACGGGTACATGCCTTGGTTCTTGGGAGATTGTGTGGCTGGATTCACAAGAAGCCAGACCAGTGTCTCTTCCCGTGATGACACCTGGGAGTAGGCTGGAGTCATTTATTACTTTTAATCAGAGCTGCGGTGGTGGGAGGAGGGAGGGGGAGCAGGGAGCTCAGAACAGGACTGTGAAAACTGCCAATAGAGATGATGATTTGTTTCGGCTCTCACAGCCCTCTGCTCCAGGGCATCACAAATCTTCCAGGCCCTGCCCAGTCAAAGGGAAGCAGCAGCCTAGCTTCTCTCCCAGCCTCAGCCCACGACCCCAGGGGCCGGGCTCATCCCAGAGGTGTAGGGAGCTGCAGGAAGCACACTGAGGAGGCAAGGTGTGGGGACCCGGAAGGTGACCGGAAGTGGTGCCTTGTGTGCTTGTGAGGGCCCCAGAGCCTAAGAGCAGCACAGCACTGTGGCTCGGGTGCCTGGCAGCCCATTATTCAGGAGGTGGGAGCAGACAGCTGGGCCATTAGGCCACCACAGGGGGTGGGGCACTGGATGAGGGCCAAGGGAGTAGCTCCTGCAAGGCAGTATTTAAATCCTGCTTTGCCGTCACTGTTTGGGATGCCACCTGTGACTCGGCCACAGCCAGCATGAATCTGGAAAGAGGCCAGTGGAGAAATCCTGCAGCTGTCTGTTGCTTGACCTTGGCCTTGGGTCTTAAGCAAGAAGGCAGGAGGCGGCTGGCTGGTGAGGTAGATGCCAGCACCTCATGGCTGGGTTTTGCCTCAGGTGCTGGCTAAGCCTTTCTGCTCTCTGGGGGCAGCACTTGGACAGCTCTGGCTGGGCGCCCCTCCCCCCACACCAGCCTTTACTGCAGAAAACCCAAGGCTGTCCCAAGCAGCAGGTTCCCAGGCAAAGACACTGACTATGTAAGTGTGTCCACCCCTCCCATATCTACCCACTGACCTGGCCTTCCAGGGGCTATGTCAGGCTTTTCTAGATCTTTCAGGGTGGTCTGTAAAGGCGTGGCTGTGGGCGATGAGGCACCACAGTTCCTCATAACTAGTCTTAACTGTTAGTGCTATCCCATAGACAAGTGGCCAATCTGGTTGTTAAAGTCTTTGTCGAAACCTCTACGCCCCAGCTGGGGTCTGACAGTGCAGGCCTGGAATCCCAGCTATGCAGGAGGCTGAGGCAGGAGGATGGCAAGTTCAAGCCCAGTGCCTGTGCTACAAAGTGAGTTCAAGGCCAGCCTGGGGAAATAAGTAAGGTTCTGCCTCCAAATGAAAGTGTGTCTAGAAAAATGGCCCAGTAGTGGTTACGAGCACTTGTTCGGCTTCCAGGGGATCTGAGTCCAGGTCTCAGCACATAGCTCACAATTGCCTGTAACACCAGTTAGGCACACACACGTACACACACGTGGCATGCACTTACACAGACATATGCATATAAATAAAAGTTTAAAAATAGTAAAAAATTAAAGAGGGCTGGGCTGCATTTGGAGCTCAGTGGTAGACTGCTTTCTTAGTATGCACAAGGCCCTAGGTTTAAGCCCCAGCAAAATATGCACACAGACACATACGCTTTCCCAAAATCAAATCTTCCCTTGAGGGTCATTTTATGGAATGGCGGCTGCTTCTTCTCCTCCTCCTCCGACAGGGTTTCTTTGTATAGCCCTTGCCGTCCTAGAACTCCCTCTGTAGACCAGGCTGGCCTTGAATTCACAGAGATCATCTGCCTCTGCCTCCCGAGTGCTGGGATCCAAGGTGTGCACCACCACCACCCAGTGAACGGCAGCTTCTCTGTTATCACCCAAAGGGGACAGGCTTATCTGTGTTCCCTTTCTCCTTCCCTCTCCTTAGCTGCACTGGGCACTATCTGTCAAAAGTAGAAACAATATAGAAAGGCCACTGGACCAAGTTAGGGAAAAGTACAGCATCTAAGAGATGAGGTAACTCCTGAGGGCCTACTGTGCGCTAGGCCCAGTGAACACAAAAGGAGACACACCTTCACACCAGAAGAGAGGAAGCTCTACACACATGTCCAGAGAACTCTCTGGCCAGTCACAAGCAGGACCCTCGTTGAGGCAGGGGAAGCACACAGAGACCAGAGGAAGAGCCCCAGCCACATCCAAGAAAAGGGGCCCAGCGACTCCCGCCACCTTGAGTACACTCGGATGACACTGTCCCCAGGGAACAGAAAGGGGAAACGAAGAGTGCTGGTCTGGCTTCCAAGCATCTAAGTTCAAAAGAAATATTTACGCCCTTGACTGGACAGGCACGGAGAAGGGAAGGGAAGGAAGCAGGGGGCTCCGACCTGCAGCGGTCCCAAGACCAGGGTGCAGGACTAAGTCCCATGCTCCTGGGCCCAGACTCCTTTGTCCCTGACACTTCCTGCCTTCCTGAGTGCCTGAGGAGCAGAGTTCACGAGCTATCTCCCAGAGTGATCACCCCGTCCCTGGGGAGACGACTACTCCAAAAACTCATTAGGTCTGCTAATAAATCAAGGTGAGACAGGATGGCAGGCTGTGAGGACAGACCGCGCAGGAGGCAGGGAGGAGCTGCTGTGCGGCCCTGGCCCACAGTGGCTGCTTGCTTCGAGCTGCAGAAGAGGCACAGACAGACGCACACAGAGGCGAGACGGCGCGTGGCCTCCAAACATCCAAGATGTCCCCATCAGAGGTGCAGGGGTCCGCCCTTGGGCAGTGCCGGGTGTGTCTGTCGCCCTATGCTGGGCTGAGCTCTGAGTACCCATATCTGTATTGCACCTGCATTCCACACCGGAAGTCACACTCCAAGGGGTGTGGAGAAGCACGGAGGAGCCAGGGAGGGCTCAGGAGGCTGGTGAGAGCTTCACATCAGGTCGCATGGGGAACAGCAGGCCTGGGCAGATCGTCTGTACAAGGGCGGGGGTGGGCGCAGGAGACGTTTATTACTTATAGAGACAACTGTGCAAGGCTTGGCCTTGACCATCACTCATTCTGCGGTCTCACTGAGTGTCTGTGGAGTGCTGGCACTATTCCGGTCACTCAGGGGTAGGTGCACAAGACAGACCAGACATAGGTCCTGTCCTTGTGGAGTCCAGAGTGCAGGAGAGCCAACAGGTAGAAGGTGCCAAAGACAATCGCAACAAAACAGAGAACTGGTTAGTGGTCGCCTTAGTGACCACATCCCTGTGGCTAAGAATGGTCCAAGTTCAAGGGTCGAAGCTCACCAGGAATAGGGGAGGGGAGGCAGGTGCCAGGTGTCAGGTGCCAGAGGCAATATAAGGACCTTCCTGGCTGCTCTGCTGCCCAGGTCTGTGGCTGTCACACCTGCTCTTGGTTTCGGAGAAGAGGGCTCATTGCAAGGCAGTGATGAGGGGCCAGCTGCCATCCCCGACTCCGCCTGAAGCCATGTGCCGCTTCCAGGCAGACTTCTGACAGCCGATCTAAGTCCTACAAGCTGGCCTTGCCATATTGATTCACCTTGAAGCGCAGCCTGCTCCTGGCAACTCTTTGGAGGGAGCAAGGGAGGGAGGGAGGCAGGGAGACAGGTGCAGAAGGCAAGCCATTATCTGAGGAGCCGAGACAAAACCAGGCGCTGCTCCTTAGCCTTGAGTGGCCAGCTGGGAGAGATGGCACCTTTTCCTTCCCTGTGTGGGCAGCTTAGGCCAAAAGCCACTCGGGCACTAGGCCACCCTGCAGCACCAGCAGCACCTGGGTGGCCTTCTTCCCTCTTCTCTGCTGTCACCAGCCAGATAAATCCCCATGGGAGCTGTCTGGCCCAATGCTGTCTGTCCGTCTGACCTTAGGGCATCCCCTTGGCAGGGAGAAAGGACAAGCCACGCCCTCCTGGGTACCTGCCGAGGACGGAGGCACGATGATCCCTAAGAGCATCAGACTAAACAAACAGTGCCTCTCCTGAATCCCTA